CAATTAGACATACATCTGTCAAGGTAGTATATTTGAGAATGTATTTGAAGACATGGATTAAGCATTAATGTCTTGTCCAGATTTCAGCATGAGCAGCAATAAAGAGACAAAAGTCTTGACAAGAATAAAACTATGACTTGCTGTCTTTAAAGTCTTGCACTCTTCTGTTATTCTGTGATAACTCTTCTTGAATTTCTCCGAAAACATTTGATATTTAAGGATATTTAACTGGCCTGTTTAAGCCATCACCTTAACAGTTTAGCCTCTGTGGTTTGAATGGTCTTAGCAATGATTAATGCTGGTGTAAGATTACAAAAATCTACTGCCATGTACAATTTGAACGGTTCATTTCCAGCATACTATATATTTATAGCATTCATAGTATATATAGTACATATATAGTATATAAATATATAGAACGAGAAAAACAGAGTGAATATGCTTTGATTAAATCAAGGGTGTATCATGCTGTAAATAAATATCAACAATGATTTTCATGTAGGGCGGGCAGAAATAATGGAGTATGTTATCATGAATGAAAATAATTGTTTACGTCTGTGTGAGCAGTCACGTAATGTGATTTTCCACTTTGTGTTCTCAAACATTTTCCACCTTGTGTTCTCAGCCATTTTAAATGGAAGATTTGTGAAACAACACTACCTATTTTTAAACATGAACTACACAACATTGCTCCCTGAAGGATTTCTATCAGATTTTTGTGGTCTGCTGTAGACGTTTGACTCTTCCTCATAGCTGCTTATGGGAATGCAGTCTTTTTACATTTTTCTTTTTCTTATTTGGGACATACCAGTGTGAAGTTTGCAAGTGTTCCTCCTTCTAAGAGTTTTCCCCTGTAACTTAAGCTTCCTCCCATAGTCCTAAAGCATGCATGTCGGGTTAATTTGCCAGTCTAAATTAACCCTAAAGGTTAATGTTAGCATGCAGTGGTGTTACTCTTATTTTTCTTCGTGTTCGCTTCGTGATAGACTTGTCCAGAGTTTGGCCTTCTCTGGGTTGAGGGCAGTTGAAATAGATTCTAAACATAAACCAACGTTTCCCATGGCCCTGAACAGGATGAAGCAAGAATAGAGAGTGAATCCGTTTTTACACAATACACAAATTAGCTTTACAGTAACTGTGTGTTTATAGTGAGTTGTCTTGTTGATTTGTGTTTTCCAAACATACTGTATAAAGACATAATTCACTTTAATATGAGAGCGGTTTGTAACACATTATGTTGTCTAATTGTTTAGAGATATTATGGCCTAAACAACTCTTTATTTCTCCTTAAAATAATTGTTGCAGGTACATAATATCTGTATAGTTTAAACATGAGGTATCAGATCAAGAAAGATAGCAGGAGTTCTGGGAAGTTAAGACATTATCTTGTGTTGCAATCTGAATTTGGCATTTATTAGATTTATGTCTGTTTTTTTGCTTGAGAGACAGGAAACAGGCACTAGTTTTCCATGGAAACTTTGTTACCATGAATATAAAAGGACATACTGAAACCCCTAATATGGAATGAGGGGTCATGCAGTTATTGGTTCATTCGTGCAAAGTCTATCGTGGACTTGGGCCAAGCTACTCACGTGCTCACAGTTGTAGGGGTTGCCCATTAAATAAACAAGAAAAGCATCCAGGACTGTACTCAAAGGAGGAGAGGAGTTTCCTGCCTCTGAGGAATGCTGACCATCAAACAAAACAGCGGGTTTTTAGATACATCAGACACGTCCCACAGAATGAGACAGCAACAAAATCAAACTGGAGATCCTCTAATGCGATAGCCCTGACTGAGCTCACACACGCACACACTTACGCAATGAAAATTGTACCAGCTACTCTCACAACTGGTAACGTGTTCACTTATCACACTTGGCTTTCAGGAATGGAAAAAATGTAATGGGCCCTCTAATCCCTCCGAAGAGACAATCAGTTCTGCAAATGTTAGAAAACAACTGAAACACAGACCAGTTTCTTTGAAGGCTTTTAAAAAAATGTTTTAAAGGCCAAAAAACATTTGTCAATATTGTCTGATATTAATATCTCGTGCAAAGTGTATCATTGTCATCTAAATACTTTCTCCTCATTGGTAGGTTTCTATTTCCAATTCTATAGCAGCACTTTTATTATTTTCATGAAGGATTAAAGATTAAATATTTTTCAGCTCTGTATGAATGTATTCATGTATATGTTTGTTTGTCTTTGTGCGTTTGTTACTTAGTATAAAAAGTCCCTTGTCCAGAGAGGTAAATTAAAGAATAACTCTTCTTTGGCCCAATCATTTTAGTGCTGCACTGAGTTGACAATTAAGTAGCAGTATATTGTGGTCTGGTTGAGTTTTATTGGATAAACAAATTTGATGAGTTTGTGGGTTTGACGTTTTTGCTACATTAAGATAAAGGAGCATTGAGAAATAAGGAAGAGATTAGAGAGGCAGATCACTCAAGCATTACTTAAAATGAAATCCATGACATCCAAGACAAGTTTTAAAACAACAACAACACTAATAATTATAATAATAATAATGAAGTGTCTTTCTCAAATCCACTGTTTTCTTAACTGTATGGGCCATTTGAGAACACCACAACATTTTCTGTGATCTTTGTCAGAAAACAATGGAATACAGTTTCACAGACTGTATAAAGAAATAGCAATTACAATGGTTTGTCTTGTGTGTACCATATGAATTCTGTCACATTCTCTCCTTTGCTATTGTCCCATAAACTGAGTCTCCCTGCTTCCGTAACAAGCTCAGCTGTTTTCTTTCCTTTTTTGTATCTCATTTTTGGTGGAGAGGACATGAGGATAGGACGGTTTTCCAAAAGCAACATTTACACTTGTCATGAAGAGAGGAAAGCAGCTTTTCAAAGTATCTGCAAATGTGTTGGATGAGGATTTTCTGAATATATAGACCAAAATATCAAGATGTGCAGGATTGTAACTCTTCAGACGAAAGGAAAAGAACATGCATTGCTCATGTTTAAGCTATGTCAGTGTTTGCTCTAATATGCGTTGCATATCTTCCATAAATCTGTTGTGGAGGGGAAAATCTGTTTTTACTATCTATCCTTGGTATCCTAACGTTAAGTGGTGTGATGGAAATTTCACTCCCATATATTTTCCTATTTTGAAAGGAGAACATCTGGGTCTAGGCAAAGTAGAGTGGCACCAAGTATAAAGAGGCATCAATGGAAACATTTGTTATCATGTTTCAGTTTCAAACTTTCTCTATAATCACTGCATTCAGTCATTTAAAGATAAAAGAACTGTGATTTTCTAAAGCATGCATTTCACCTCAAGTGAAAAGCATTTCTTGGCTTGAATATTAATGCTTGAAGGGTCCAAGTCGAGGGATACTGGACCATCAAAGTCTTGCTGTATTAATGTCAATGAAACAATGATGCATATCCTCTCATATATGCTTTTCGCACAAAAGTATTGTGTGGATGAAAGTGTTATTGATACAGTCTGATATATTTTCTTGTTTTGAGAGAGGTTTGTGAATTGGATACAGTACATTACTTTCTTTTTGTTTTTCCCAAGGTCTCACAGATAAAACTGAAACCCAGGGGCTGACACAAGACACAAGCGTGCTGGGCTGTGGTTAAAAATATTCATTGATACTTGATGAGCGGACTATAGGTACGGGTGGGGGGAAGTCTAGGGGATAGCTGGGAACAGAGACAACAATGTAACAGTTTTCAAAAGTGAATTTTTACAGGCTGGATGAGACTGACTGCATAAACAGAGTCAATGACCTGGAGAGTTTTGGAATCAGAATTGGCAGTTGGATGAAGAGCACCTGGTGACCAAACCTCCTGCACATCTGTCTCTAATTCTTTGATTGAGACCCCTCTCTTTCTTTGTATCTCGCTTCTTTGTCACACACACACACATAGCTAGAGAGCAGAGGAAGGCATGAGGACAGGCCCTTTCAGATCAATCCACTTTGGTCATGTGGTCTTGTTTCCACTTGTATTTTACATCTCCAGATTTAAAATTTAAATTAAACATGTTAAAACTACTATAAAGTCTAAAGGCATAATTGTATATGGTTTGACCATTCTGAATTGGTAAATACATCAAACTATCCACTCAGGCTAACAGTATTCTAATGGACAAAGAGGCTCACATATTATTTTCTAATGTTAATTTTTGGAAGATTAATTTTATCATGCACTATATAATACATATTGTATTTTATTACGTGGATATCATCTGTCAAGTGGAAACAGAATGCAATCTGTAAAGTATAGAAGCGTGCACCAATGAAAAGACATTGGAATGGCACATTGATCAAGATGAGACAAAAGATATTATAGAACCCATTTCACCAAATTGTTTCAACTCTTAAACTGTGCATGTGTCTTCCAAATCCCTCTGACATAGCAGCTAATAGATTTTCTTTGCATATCGGAATTGATTGCTCATCTTGTTTCTTTTGTATATTCTGGGTACCAAAATCCTAAAACCAGGGCAGAAGGACTCTAACATCCCCAGGTCTATTATTTTGACAATAATAACAAATATGTTATTGAAAATGTATTAAGCTGTAACTCCACTTCTTTGATGATATGTGTGTTCATCACTAAGTATCTTTTATATTGTAGCATCCACAGTCCATGACTGCTTGTATGTATATCTGATCTGGAAGTCAGTGGAAATCATATTATTGTGGCATGTGAGAGCCATGATTACAAAAGACTACAACAAGCCTCTTTAGATAGTTTACATGCTTCTTCTCTATTTTATACAAATCAAATCGCATCTAAAAGACACTGTTTTCCTTTTGACAGAATCAGTCTGAAACTTCCTCTTGTGTCTTGAGTGCCAGCTAACAGCTACACAGACTGGTGTCCAGGAAGAGAGCGTGACCATGTCTAAATCAGTTTAAACCTTCAAAATTTCTGAGATGGATCACAGAACACTGTTTTCTGGATTTCGAAACCGGTTTGTCAAGTTTAAAGCAGACATCAAATGGTCATGAGGTGTGTTTAGGGGAAATGTATTTATTCTTGTAGTGTGAATACTTCTTTTTTGACAGTTGCCACTCACGTTCAACAGGACATTGGTATTGTACACAGTATTTCTGTAAACATGATCCATGAGATCCAAGGTGTAATTGTTCACACTCATACTTGACAAAGTAGCCCAGGATTACACAGAAGTTTTTTTTTTCTAAATAGTTCCTCTTAGCTTTACATAAAACACCATTTTATGACTATGGACAGTTACATTTAAAATACTTTACATTCACAATTTGCTATAAACACTTTGATAAATACAAGATTAGATATAGCAAAAGAATATATTTCTATATTTTTTATGTCTCTTATATATTCCACATATAATGTTTGTTTGTTTTTTTCAATTTGTGGCTTTAATCCTTTGAATAAGGTTTTTCTTTTTTACCATGATAAAAGGTTAAATTCAGCTTCAATTCCATAAATAAAAAAAGGAAATATTCATGTCACTTCTAATGGAACATGCTGGCACTTCTATGGTGATGAAAAACACCATAGGTTACTTTATGTTTAAAATGAAAAAGCAAATGTTGCTGCCATGCAGTTAGAATTGATATACAGTCAAGTTAAAGTATTTTTCAGTTTCGGTTGCTGTGACCAGTACACCAACAATAAACTGTATGGTTGCAACAAATTCCCACCACACAAACAAACACACACACACTCACAGTCTTTCTCTCTCTCTCTGTTGCCTCTCATTGTTACTTTCGAGGAAAACCCACAAATATTTCTTTTTAAAAAAAAGACCTAAATCTAAAAATCACACGATAATACAAAACTATCTATAACAGTAACGCCATTTGTTTTGGTGATTTTTTCCCCCAACGAATCAGCTAGGTACTGACCAAGTTCCAGCTTTTCAAAGAATAAGAGTTCACGAAGTCAGCTGAAGTTCTTTAAAAGCTTGGCATGGCATATGCGTAATTCCCTTTTCTGTAATACAGCGTGACACAAAAGCATTATGTCGGGCCTGCTTTCTCTTTGCTAAACAACTTGAACACGATGAGCTGCTGACCTCGAGCTCTTTGATGTTAATGTCAAAGTGCTGAGTAAAACACAAGAGATTGCCATCCACAAATAATTCTGACGTTTGTGGGTTCCTGAGTCAACACTGTTTATTCTATCTCTTTCTGTATGGACTGTTGAAAAGATGAAGAGTCTCACTTAATAAGGCACTGACTGAGATAGGCCACTGTGCTAACATAATGGGAAGAACAACGTATTTCTTCCTATGATATAGTAATAATGAATAATCACTGGCCATGATGCAACTATGATCCTCTATATAAGGATAGACAGGGAGGTTAACTAGGGGTTTGGGTTCTAATTGTAATTTCTGGACCTTATCAGAGGCAATAATGTCAATGACATATATTTAAAATCAGGACTAAAGCTATGCCATGACTAAAGCTATGCCATGACTAAAGCTAATACCTCAAAACTATAACTATGTCCACCTGGTAGTAGCTGTAAATTTTCCAATGCCCTTCCAGTCCCTTATGAGCTGATGCAGAACTTGAAGTAGTTTGAGTAACTCTGAAATCAAATAGTCTGAAGCTGCAGTTTAAAACAAAGGCCTTGTGTGGTAGATGCACAGGAGAAAGAACTGGGCTGCTGAGAGAGAATGGAGCCTGTTGATCTCCTTGTTTGTCTGACCACTGTTGGCACACAGGAACTCCATATGGTGGATGACAGTTCTGGGTATTTGTGATCAAATGGCCAACCAGTGCTTGAGCTGTAAAACACAATAGAACTTTACTATTTATTGAGCCAATAAAATAATACATACTACATTCATACCACATGAAAAAGGTTGTATTGACAACTTTTTTGTGTCTCATAATCTTCCTTAGACCAATAAAATGCAGTTCAGAGGGGAATTATTTCCAATGTGCATTAGTTACAGCTATTTCCAGTATTTCCAGAGCTGTCCTGTAAGAAAAGTACAAAATGTTGCACTTACTTTGAACTGCCGCACATTTCCTTCTGCCACCAAATGATGTTCGTGTTCTGGAGTGATGCAGTAGGCTATCCTCTGCAAAACAGGTAATACAGTAATGACGCATCTTTCCTCTTTCCATCTCACAAATGATATATTTTGAAAGGACCAAACAGAAAACACACTTAATATTTGTTCACGTCTTATGAATTTTGGAAATTTCATTTTAAGAGAAGCAAAGGGGAAAAGTTCAGATAATATTAGACATCCGAGAGGAAATCAAATCAAATCAAATTTAAGAATAGATTCTTCTACAAAACTATTTCTTTTCTCTCTTGTGCAGAGGCAACACAAGAACTTGATTCCAATAGAAGATGTATAGAAGAAAATGATGAGATGTTCAATCTCATTTATCAACAGGAAATACCAAGAAGAAGTGAGGACTGCATTAGCAAAGTAATGATGACACTGGGTTGCTGCAGCGGAATACAAAAAAATAGCAGTGCTCTGCTTTGATGATTACAATCATGAACTCTTGGTACTTCTGCGTTTGTTGACATTTTTCCTACAAATCTCCTATAACTGGGAAAAAATGTTTCCTGTGCTTCTTCTTCATCATGGAGAATCCACCAAAACTTTTCAAACATATTTGCTTCAGATACTAACATTAGTCTAAAAAATGAACAAATAGATAATTGAAACACAAACCTCTTTGAATGTCCCTGATACAGTGCAGAACTTGTACACGGCATAGACGGGAACAAAAAGCATGGAGGACATTGCTACACCCCAGCCCAAAACGTTGGCCCAATGAGGGAAGACATAGTCATCATACTTCAGGCCTGTTGAATTCACAGTACTAGCTATGACCACGAACTGGAAAAGAGAGAAGGACAAAAGATAAACAGACAAAGCTTTGTATCTGAAATAGCATTTGATGAAACTGCACAAAGTATAGACAAAAAAAAAAGAAAACGCTGCAGATTACTATTGGCATGTTAAAGATCATAACTGTGTAGTTACAAAAAGATATGGAAAGGAGGGACTCAATTCTCATCATCTCTTCACAAACAAATCATCTCTTTTTTATTCTGATTAGCAGAATCGTAGAACTGAGAGAGGATGTACTTTCTTTTCCACATGACTGTATATGTAAAGTGGGTAGTGCAAAGGCTTTGAAAACACAAAGGTTTATCTGGAAACAATGGTTCTTTATTTTAGAGTTTTTCTTTTTGCTCATAATGTTCGGTGACATATTAACCTTGATACTGCCAACTTCCACTGTTGTCCAGGCGAGGGTGCAGACAGCCGTTTGTACAAAAAGGAAGCATATGGTGGACACATCCATGTGCTTCCTCTAATCATTAGTGGCTGTCTGTAACTCCACATGCAGTAGAGTCTAATGCATGTGGAGTTAAAGACAGCCAGGTTTAACTGTCAGCAAGAAACTCACCAGGATGCACATCGTGATTCAAATTATTCCTGTCATTCCACAACATCTCTCTGTGTACTAGCATACTAACAACAATCAAGACAGGTTATGATTTATCTGGAGTTCTTTTCCCAGTCTGCTGTTCATCTTATTGCATTACTTTAATTAACTTTGTTGTTGGTTCTCATAAAGATGCAATTCAAAGTCTACATCTCAGCTAAATGTTAGAAATGAGGCAGTCAATGTTGTATAATTTAGGATCTTATCTGTTAGGCTTGAGTTTTGCTGTTGAATCAGATATCCCTATCTTGGGATACAAATCCTCACCAGCAGAAAAACTGGACTGACAAATTTCCAGCACAGCCTCCAGTAGAGACCTGGCTTAAAGCCCATCATGCGCTCGATATCTTCGCTGAAGCGGTCCACACCTGCACAGAGAATGAAAAGTTAAACGGTTGTTTGGAGTGGAGTGGAGTGATATACAATCAATAGTCCGTCACCATAGGCTACAGCAAGTTCTTTGTGCCAAGTATGCAGTCTCACTGGACAGGAGGAGGAAATCTAACACTTAATGGCATACATCCTCCTCTACTGATGTTTTTCTCTTCTGACATGAGTTGATCTTGACCTGGAACAACACTGTTCTCAACAAGATTACCAAGTTGTTATCCATGATCAATTTGTTGTTTCTTCCTTCCAGGCAATCCTTCTTTTAATGACATTTACTTGGTACACATGCTGTACCACTTTCAGATAAGCCTTCTCTATAATACACTATTCAACTAAAAGACCTCCAACAACACTGAACTCCTTTCAGTTTGTGTTGTTATAATTACCTTGAAACTGTAACAACTGGAAAAGGTTTTGTAGGTCTAAATGTGTATCTTATTAAATTCATTCCTATTTACTTTATCATGCATAATGCTGCTATGGTAGTGCCTAATTTCTAATCAGCAGTGGATTTCTTACCATAAAACCAAGACACTCCGATGGCCTCGATCAACACACCAAACAGTATGGATGTTCCTGCTGCATACTTATCGAGCAAAGTCAGGACATAGATTCCACCCTACGCAGGAGGAAAGGGAGAATAAATTTTACCATGTCAGAGCGTGTGGCCTGTGTGTAAACATTTACACTTTGAGATAAGTAGACCCTTGGATCCCATCAGCCAGCAGGGATTCTTCACAATTTATAGAATATAATGAACCGTTCAAGTGTTCATGCACTCAGGAGGGCCATTAGAACACACATGAGGACAGTTGTTGGAGATTTGAGTTTTTGCACAATAAATCTTCTCCAAGTATCCTGGGCAGTACACTCTTGTACAGAAAACATGTATACAAAAGCAATAGTTGATTTTCTAATTTTTTTATTGATTCAATTAAGGAAAGAAACCATGTGAATCACTAACATAATTTTTATAAGCCTTTCCATCTCCAGACTACATGTCTGTAAATGTCTCATGTTTTTCCATGCTCCTGAGCCCATGTGAATTAAAAGGGACCCCAATGGAAAAAAAAAAAGTTTGCCTCCCGGATGCAGCATTTATCTAATTCTAATTCATTATCAGAGTGGGATGCAATAGCTCTCCTGATCAGTACTTTGGTGAATACTCTTCTGTGTGATTCTCGGGACTGGAAAGTCAGTTGCAGTTTTGAGCTCTCATTTATCATGATTGAAAATAATCCAAGCTGTGATTGCAAATGCTTGACATCATTATCAAGTCAATGAATGAATGTAAAAGCAGACTAAATAAAGTGATACTGACATTGGTAATGCAGAGCAGTGCAAGAAGAAAGGTTCCAAAGGCAGTGGCAAAAGTGAAAAGTTTTCTGTTCCGCTTCAGAATCTTAAAATCATCTGTCAGGCCTGTGAGGACTGCTTCCATCCCACCCATCTGCAGGACACAAACATACAAACATTATCATTAGAAAGCCTGGGAATGGATTCTGAAAGAGATGAAAGAGCAAGCTTCCTAATGTTACATAGCTAAGAGTGAGACTTTTGGATACCTGTGCAGGCCATTGATGAAATGACGCCGCTGGCTTGTACGTCCTCTAAGACAATTATGATTTATTTTTCTTGTTCATATTCTTCCATACCATAAGGCACAGGTATCAAATTCTGAACGATGTTTTGTGTAGATTCATTTAATGAAAATTTGGTGTGTAAAAGTAGGGAAGCATCCACAACCAGCAGGATGACACCCCTTAAGAACCAGAGTTTAGGTCACCAAGTCCGTAATGATATAAAGGCACAGACGACATTAAATCAGAATGTTATATGAAGGAAGAGACAACACTGAACTCAGGAGATTATCATATCCAGTATATATACTGTTATGATTTTTTTTATCAATACTAACAATTATGTATGAAAAAAATTATAAAAAGAAAAACATCTGTAACAGTCAGACAACATATATACATACTACCACATTTTAATCCCACTCCACAACTCCATTTACTTACTCCATTTACTTAACAACAAACCCGAAGATTGCTTACAATACAAATGTATGAGATGAACTGTTATTTTTTTCAGTTTTTAGATAGAATTGTCAGGCTGTTTTACAATTGTTTTCTTTGGCTGGCTCCTTTAGCCAAATTCTTTTGGTTTCAACAGTTAATAACAATGTTTACATAAGGTCTACAAATCATCTAAGATTCAAGCAAGGTCTTCCTTTGTTCAGTTTTAGTTGTATAGAAAATAGCGTCCTTATCTTATCTCTAGAAAAGATTTAATGAAAATCAGATGATACGATCGTAAAAACACAAGGAAACTTGGACATTTTTTACCAACGTACATTTCTGCCTCCCCCTACATTCAAGTCTACTGGTTTAATCTGATTAAGTGACTGAATTACTAGTTCTAGGAAAACAATTGTGCCCCGCTGGTCTATTTATCATTTTCCACCTATAGTGGCAGGAATTCTAATGTTTTCTACTTTTTATTTCAATTATGTAAATGTTCTCAAAATGTTCATGATGCAAAATCAAAATGTGCAATAGTGAGACAAAGACGAAATATAAATGGCAGTAAATAACAGTTTCTCTGATGGCTAAATTGCTCAAACACACTGAAGCCAGAGGTCTTATGACAGATTCTGATCCAAACACTTAGCTGGGCTTTGGTAAGACTGCACTCAGACATTTGAATGTGTAGCCTAAATCCACAAAGTTTGCATTCAGTTTGCAAAGAGTGTATATTAGAATAAATAAGAATAGAGAAAAATTATTCTCCTTTTGGGAAAGCCTTTTCCTCTATGTTAAATCTGTAATTAATGACTGTTTACCTAATCTGTGTGTTTTTGGTGCTGTGTCCTTTGTTGGCCTTTTTGGTGTTGAGGTAAATACTTCTAAAATAAAGATTTTAATGGAATCAGTGTGATATTTGGGATATTCATTTTTTTAAGATTTCCATTTTGCAACATAGCCCAGACCATAGTTGTATTCCTTTAAAAGAAGGTTATTGTCACAATGAGAAGGATAATTCAGTGTGACTATTCCAAGAGGATTTCTACATTCAACTGCACAATCCGTCATTTTGGAGTTGCCAAATTGGTCAGTGGTACTCACAGAGCTGTCGATGCCCAGAGTCAGCAGCATGATGAAGAACACAATAGCCCAAAACGTTGAGCCGGGTAGTGTAGAAATAGCTTCAGGATAGATAATAAACACCAGACCCGCTCCTGTACGTACAACATATATTTGATTTTAGCTCGACATAAACTCACACTGTAAACAACTTTGCATCTTTTTGAGCTGGTGATGTAACAGGAGCAATATTTTCTACCTAGAAATATCACAACTCACCCTCTGTTGCCACATCCTCTATTTTCACCCCATGTTTGTAAGCCATGTATCCAAGCACAGAGAAGATGGCAAACCCTGAGAAGAAACTAGTGATGCAGTTCACAGTACTGGTCAAGAGAGCATCCCTACAAAAAGAAAATACAAGGATTACGTTAAAAATAACTCGTGTTTTCTTATTATGAATTCAAATCAGATGCTTACTTTAATACATTTATGGGATGACTGATAAATTCATCATAGTGCTTTTAAGGTTACAGTGTGGTTACTTGATGTCTTTCAAGTGTGACAATGGTTGATCATCACAACACTGTTGGGCTGGGGCTTTTGTTTTCTGCTCCTGGTTAGTTTTCTCTGTAATTAGAGTGCTGTTCCATGGCCCCTGACAGAATGAATACGGTCAACTTGACCCCAGTCACTTTCAGGTTTGGGGAGCAGAAACCTCTTAATGAACAATTTCCTTCCATTTGACTTCCCCTCTTACTTATCTGCTTTTTCTATTGTGTATAGGCTGTGAACATTAAAAAAAAAGTCTAATGCTGACCTCCTGTCTGGTCATTCAGGTCACTACACAAGTACCCAAACATGATCAGACAAAAGATCATTAAGGCGAAGCAGAAATAAAGCATTTGTTTCAATCCCATAATCGAAAGCTACCAAGCTCTGATGATTTTCTTCTTTGCTTTTGTTTTGCTGGGATATCTTCTGTTCTCAGTGATGTTCTCTATACTTTTAATATGTTAAGTATACTGACGTTCTGGTCTATTTATCACAATGTGCTGATTAATTGGACAATACGTCATCTGCCCTTTTAAACACGTCTGTTTTTGTAAGTGATTGTTCATTAGCTTTTCCAGGTTCCTTTCTGTTACTGAGTTTAAATTTGTTGATTTGACACAAAGGGCATAACGCAATTCCAACCAACCACGCATAGCTCTAAGTGGAACAATGAGAGAGAGGAAGAAGGGGCCCAGTCTGGGGTTGATGAGAATGAAGGCAATGAGACAAGACAGATGAGGAGGGGTTTCTACTGCTTATAGATTGTAGTACAGCAATAAGTACAGTGTGCAATATAGGACGCCTATGGACTACTATTTGAACAGTTGCTGTCAAGTCTTTGTGTTGCTAAAAGATGTATTTTGTCTGTTTCACCCACAGCATCTGCCACCAACAACACCACCACAACCCATCAATATGGACAAGATAAGCAAAGCTCACAACGTAATGTCGCTTTGCCCTGAGGAAGAGCAGCTCTTTGACAGCAGCCAATGCGCAGCCTGTGGCTACTATCTGGAAACCTTTCCTTGTTCTATGCTTTATCTGTCCTCATGCATCTGCACATTTGAGCGAGCAGGACCGATTAGCATCGCCTCTGCTGTGTTATCGAGACACTTAATGGAAAACCCAGACTGTTTAGAAACAGATGGACTGTTTTTTTACTTTCAAAACATGTCAAATTAAGCCCCTACCTGTAGCAGTTGTTGTCAAACTTGTTATAGCTGGCAAATGCAATAAGCACACCGAATCCTGCTCCCAGTGAGTAGAATATTTGGGTGGCAGCGTCAGTCCACACCTACAGGCGGCCAAAAATAAGCAGAAACAAGAAAGAAAAAAGTTGTGCTTTTACTACATTTACTTTTATTATGTTTAATAAATTTTCAGCACTGTAAGCAGTGAAGCTTTTTACTATTACCGGCCAGGAAGCACAGGCTCCGGTTTGCAAAGTATGCCGCTGACATTTACAGCACAAGGCACACAAATGTTCAGCAAAACATGAACTGTTTCTCAACCCTTTCAACATACATTAGTTCAGCTAATGGAAGATTGTATCTTAACAGGGGTTTATAAAGTGTATTCATTTACATTCTGCACATTCATTCAGAATGGGAGGCACCAATTGAATCCAGCCTTTAGCCCTCAGACATGGCACCCCACCCACTGGTTTACAGTGGTTGGGGTCTCTTTAAATCAGTCGGGACAAAGATGTAACACATAATACACAAGATAAATGAACAGATCTGATGGTACCTGGAGTTTTAGAACAAAATAAATTCCAGTCTCACTGATGCATTATAGTTGGTAAATACTAACCTCCAGATTTTTTAGTCGCTTGAAGTCAATGTGGAGGTAGGCTCTGATGCCATCACCAGACCCTGGTAGAGTTATACCCCGAATGAGCAACACAAACAAGACCACGTAGGGCATAGTAGCTGTGATGTACACCACCTGAATAAAAGAAACAGGTATAAAAAAAACCACCGTTATCATCAACTAAACTTAATACATGAAGATTCTGCTTTTTTTAATTGTAGTAATGAAAATAAATTGTAGTAATCAGTGCAAAGGCAACGTGCATAAATGTAACAATCAATGATAAACACTGACGCAAAAAACTGTCACAATGTTTATCATTACCTCTTTACTATATTGTTTTATTCTTCTTCATACTATTCTTCCTGTGCTTTATAACTTATACTTACAAAAGCTGACCTAGCAAAAAGTAGATAATTTGTCCAATAAAAGTTTGCATTAACTTATTTGAGTTTCAGAAAACAACATAATTTACTCTGTATTTCATGGCTGTACCTTTCCTGAAGACTTGACACCTTTCCACAGACTGAAGTAGAGAATGAAGACAACCACAACTAAACACAAAGCTAACTCCCAGCGTGGCGATCCCAGGTCATTTATACCACGACTTTGATGGAGATGAAGCACACCCCGTCTGCATGAAAACAAGCAGAGAGAATAACATGTAAAAAGATGTTGTTTTTTAGATGACTGATTTCTATGGAAACATCCTTTCAAAGTTTCATCCACAGTTCATGATGATAATGCCAGGACTTGTCCCACATGACTTGAAACATCATGACTTCACATAGATGGATGGGTAGAAAGATGGAAATGCATGTGTTTGGCTGGCCGGTTTCATATAAAAATGTCTGGTGCATATGAGAAGACATTAGGCTTTAAAAGTTTTTATGTTTACCAAATTCAATCAATTTGGCCAGTCGACACTGATTTTTCCAGTTTGTTTGTTTTGTTTGTTTTCTTTTCATGTGGCCATAAGCCATGTATCATAAAGGCTTTATCTATTTCAGAAGCCTCTACAGATACATACAAAGCTGGACTTCTCGAGGGGAATCTGCAAACGTGGACACATTTTCAATCCGTGCAAGAATTCAAGGGAGTTTAACTTTTAAAAGGAGAATTATCTTTTTTTTCTGTACAGCCTGAGATAAGAAAGGGTGAACACTGTGGACAGCTTATCATCTCAAGTGACTGGAGAAAGATAACTTTTTCAAAGGTAACAGACTTTAATTTGCTTGTTGGTTCTATGGTTTGCTCACAACTATTTTTTAACCTTTTATCACTGAAACTCTTTGAACATTCTCCAAGCAACAGTTATGAACTCCTCGGTAGCTGCCCAGCTCTCTTAGAAGTAAATAAATGGTAACCACAAAACAGGTTGAATGTTGTGAAAAAGCCACGGGTTGACAGGTAGCTCCTAAATTACTAATATGAAATAGTTTGCAGGAATCATGGGGCTCGAGATGAGATCAATAAGATCCTGTTAGGCACGCAAATCTCAAATATCTGATTATCTGCCTTAGACGCTAGGCCCTTTTCAAATGGGCCACGAAAAACTACACCAATTAAACATCTGGTTTTGGAAATCTGAAAGTATTTAATTTGCACTTAGTCTAGTAGCAAATGACTTTGTGGTAGTCATGGGTTTCTCACTTACGTCTGAAAGTCAGAAATAATCTGGCCAGATTATCTAAAGGTCACAATTAGCCTTCAGGAAATAGTGTCATGCCATCCCTGTCAGACACTGACAGGTATGCTCACATAAAAACATTTGAATAGAGGGATACAAAGTAATCTAGCAACTAATGGAAATTACTCTTAATATTACTCTTACCATATGCATTCTTAAAACAAGTGTCTTAAGAATGCGTATATTAAAGCATTGAACTAGTCTGTGGTGTGGTTTGCAATTCTTTTTTTTTTGGGACGGCAAGTAATAGCTGGATTTATTTTTGAGGAGGCCCACCCAAGAAACTCATCAGTCATGTGAGACTTTATAAGCATCCCAGATATAACCATCAAAGGTGAAGAGGGGAGGAAAAGCATGTTGGAGATGCTGTCCTGGAGAGTTATGACAGCATCTTCTGTACAGTCGTAGGAGAGAAATGCAAGTCATTTTTGATACATTAAATCATTTTAACCATTGTGGACAGATTAAATCTCTGTCGAAAGCTCATTTAAAATTGACCACAGCATTTACACAAGGACTTCAACTCTAGAGGTCCTAGTACCAACAACAGAACAAATTGTTCTAAAAAGCATACAGTGTCACTTCAAACTTCCATTATTTACCAGAGAAGATGCATTGAACAGCTCTTTCTTAGTTGTATGTAACAATTGCTATGCAGCCTACCGTTGATGTCCACTGACCGACTCAATCAATCATTTACCCTGTTATTCATAGATATGATGAAGTGGATAAACGTTTAAAAGTTATTTTGTACCTTGTTCCTATTGTTTTTTTCTCTCCTTTTTTTGGTATTGTTGACCTTGCAGATTTCCAGGTCTTAATGACAAAATTTATAGTTGGTTTTTCAGGCCTAAATTGTGAAGAATTCTCTGGGGCATAATGATGATGTTAAAAGGATTGGTTTCATTAAAAGAAAACACAGTTGAGTGTTGTAATTGGGAATAAATCTTGAAATGAATGCCGTTAATGAAAATAAAAACACACAAATTACACATTACACATTACCCAAATTCCTACTGAGCATATGTGAACTTGCTTGTAGTATAAATTCTTGTGTCAATGATGAAACATTAGAAGTTCAACATAACAAAAACACATTTTGAAAATTGTTGTGCTAGAAACAATAAGGTTATGAAAAACACAGCTTTAAAAATGGGGTGAAAAAGGATGTACCCTTTTAGGGAAGGACATGACAATCCAAACAACAAAAATTAAAACGATGTTCCTGTTGCAAGAAAGGAAAAATATCCTACAAAGGTTTATGTGTTATTGGAAAGGTCTGGCCTACAAGCAATATGACATTGCATGATTTATGAGAGACTGTTTTTACATAGTTATTGGATGGTTTTCAATAACTCATATCTCTAAGGTGAAAAATAAATGTACAGTGAGAGGAAAAATTCTTAACTAAAGAATGTAAAAGTAACATTTTACTTTTAAGTAACAATACCCAGAGTTTCCAATTATTATTTTTTATCAGAAATTCTTGATTTCAGTTTGTAACAGAAACATCTGCACTCAGATAATCCTTTATGTATGTCATCTGTTTCACTGAAAACATATGAAGGACAATCAAGTTAATGCACAACAAAGATAGACTCAAAAAGATGTTGCTGTAGGTTGATCCCAGCCTAAAAGGCACTTTGAGTGTGTTGGCTTTTCTATTTGAACGTCAATACCTAGAAGTAAAGCATTAAAAAGAACTTATGTTTCCTTCAAATTTGCCCCAGGTCTTTACTAAAAAAAGATTACATTTAGTTGGCATGTGATGTTATGGGATGATAAACAGTGGAACTTTATTTAGATAAGATACTCAGGTTGCTTACACAACAATGCGACACACACACACAAACTTCAGAAACACAAATTTAAGAATGCCCAGACAGTCTTTCCTTCGAGAATGAGGGATATGTGAAACTCTTCAACATTTATCTATCTTTGTGCGATCATAAATTCAAAGCTATAAGGTCTTTGGGGAGGAAGATAGCAGTGTGAAGACATAAGTTTATTTTGGGAAAGACGTTTCCAGATTCTGCTGTGAACCCCAGGTCTGGTGTTAGTGTAATGTTGCAAAGCCCTCCTTGTTAGTCTGATAGCATTGATAATGCACGTCCCGTAAATGAACACTAGAACATCAGTCTGGGTCCCTCTGGTCCAGTTACTCTAAACACATTTAGTCTTATCATCACTCTGGCAGTCCTGCTTTTCTATCCCAGACTGCTGCCAGCAGTTGTTCTCGCTCGCTCTGTGGACCCCAGACTGGTACACTGGCATGTAGCCTTATCTTAATGTTGGTTTTGACACAAGAAACAGGGCTTTCCAAAAATAAATCAAAGAAAAGATAAACCTCCGTGGATCATTTCCACCTGATTTATTTAATCGATCACACACGGTTTGTTCGTGTTATTTCAAAAAGCTTCATCATAATGAATATGGTGAATTGAAGTTAAAACATATGTCTCAATCGTTTATGTTATTAGATCTTTTGTCTAAATGATGGTGATTCATTAAGTGGACTTATCCCTGGTATTAATCAGATGTGGTAGCTTCTTTCTGCAAGACATTTGAAAAGAATAATATGGGTGCTCGTGAAATGAGCTGGAACTGTCAGGCTCCAGGTGCATCTAAGTGCAAAAACAGTTTGTATGTTGTAACAATGTAACTTAGCAGTGTTTGGAAAGTTATGAAAGCTTCTATGGCATGGAGTCTTTTATACCTTGGTAAGTTACTGCTAGTCAGCCTCACTTGAGATCACAAGTTTTTTATCAATGTAGGAGGAGTTTAAAAAAACGTTCAAACAAATTGTATTCATTTGTAATGTAAGAGAGATTACTCACAGGTGGAAAAATGTCAAGACAGCTGCCAATCTTCCCAGCAGTGGAGTCTGAGCAAATTCACCTCAGGGTCAAACTGTGCAATACTCAGAGAAATTCCAAAAACCCCAAAGAGAAATTCCTCAGAGTTGACAGGCTACAATTTGCATGCTAAATGTTAAAGATCATGACTGCACAATCAGAAAGCAATTGGACAAGTATGACTTTATAGAAAAGGTGCCAGAAAAAAGATTCTTCTCTTCAAAAAGAAAGAACACAGCAGCACATGCAAGATTTAACCAGGCAACATTTAATCTAGAAAAAAAAGTGAAAATCTAACAGCAAAAAGCAAAGAAGCTTCATAGATACTGAGAATCGCCGTATTGGATGTGAGACACTTCAGCCCTGCTTTAGAGTCCAAGGATGGGTGCACCCTACCATCATTGAGTTAGACATGGATTCTCCTGTCTAATGTATTCTACTCAAATCTGAATGTTCAAGATCTTAACTTTGTTCCAAACTGCATGGCCAGAGAATACAACTCTTTCATTTGCTTATGAGACAATGCTTTGTCACACTTGTAAGCACAATGTATAGCAAGTTTGTTGTTGACTAATTTTGTGGTTTTTATGCGAGAAATACATTCATATTCTGAATGATATACCATAAAACACCACCAGTTTTATTTTTGAGAATTTGTGGTTTGTTTGTTTTGTTTATTCAGATTTATGTTGTATAGTCTCTTAAGCGACCCAGCTTGGGAGTTCTAAGCTTCATACAGCACCTGCTTAGGTAAGTAGTCATTCTGAAGGAATGTTCCATTTTGTTGTTTGTTTTACTGTTCAGTTTTGCTGGACATGACACTTGTGCTACATACTAAACTTAAAAGCCTTTGTGGATGTAGAGGAGTGTATGAGATGAAGCAACTGAATTGTTGACTCAGTTGGCCTCCCTCATGCTGTGCTTTGGCCTTGCTCCTGTACTCAAAGCTAGTTGCAAGAAGGAGGATTTATTGCCCCCTACGGCGTCAGAACCCTTACAAGATCTGTCTGAAAGTACCCTATTGTTGTCAGCCTTCCCATGCATATGCACTGATTTCTTTTCTTCTGTTGAATTGTACTAATAAGAACAGAGTATATATTTTGAATTCTTGATTTGTGAACCTTGTCAACTCTTTGGATACGATTGCCTGAGTTTTTTTAAATATGCTGTAATTCACGAGGCTATAGCTTTCATGTGTGTTAACGATCCAGAGTGTTTACTTGATATGATATATCATGTTGGAGTTTGTTGGAAGAACTAGGGATTCTTTTTAAGTAAACACACTGTATTCAACCTTTTTGCTTTGCATAAAAGGAGTTGACCATTAACTGTTTAAGTTATAAGCTATGATGCATTCTCAGTGTGTTGTGTGTGCCATGCTAAGCACGAGTCCCTTGTATTGTCCAAATTATTTCACAGACTTCCTCTGGGCTCCATAGTCAGTCTTCACATGGGCTGAGGAAGAACTGGCTGTCTTTGAACTATAAATGGATGGAGCTCTTTTTATTGACTTCAAAGAGCGCATTTGAACTTTTTATGTATACACCTTCTGTGGTACAAACACTTATGGAAAGACAATTTCAGAGTCTCATTTATATTACTAGTGACCTTCTCAAATTGTTTTTATGAAAATTTACACATCGTAACAATTCCATCCTGAAAAGATCAATTTCAGCGTCAGTTGTGATTAAATAGATCACACAATGACTAAGCATACTTGTTTTGTGCAATTCGATGCACCAATAAAGCTGTCCATAAGGTAAGTGGTCACCTTTTTGAATTGTGCATTACTCTGCTTTTTCTAGGTGACACAATGACCAACGTACATGTACTGCATTCTACGCTTAAATTTCTAAATACGTTTTAAAGATAGTTCATTTCACATTATGGTAAGGCTTACCACATTTGCTACATATCCTGTTTATCAATGTCATTAGCATTCAACATCATTGTCTTCATGAACACATGACCAGAACATTGAGGGACCACCGTATAGTTGAGGTCCCCTCTAATAGAAGTTAGATAGTTTGCAATATTTCTACTGAGACCTCTCAAAGTCCTTGAAATAGTAACATACAGTGTTTATCATATAGGTTTCTCACAGTTGAATTGTTTGAACGTGTAGGTTTTTAAAATTCACTTACTCATAGTACTCTGCTGCAGGGGTGATTTTATTTTTGGCATAAGAGATTCCGTGGCGGAGGACAGACCCATTGATGGTTTTGGGGTCGGTGCAGTTTTCACTGTTCCAGATGTTACCACAATTCTGCCATGGTAGCTCACTAGTCATGGAGGAGAACAGGTAGTAGAGGGACCAGGCAATGATGACGTTGTAGTAGAAGCCAACGTACAGGGCTATGACAATCACAGTGTAGCCCACGCCTGAGGAACACAGGGTTGTTAGAAGGGAAAAGAGAAAATCTTCTAATGTCATTCCATTTTCTAAATAAAAATGTATGATCTGATTTTAACATAAGATTCACTTTGAAATTACTGTCGCTACAAATTCTCTTAGTAAGTAGATGAAGCATCTGAATGTTGAAGATGTGTTTAGCTAAGAGAAGATGATAATTCTGGTGCCGTTAGATTAAGATAAATCATGAACAGGTATGTACAACAGACATAGCAGACATACCTAAAGATTGCTTCACCTTATGATTACCATGACACGTGCTCACTTTCTCATTGGGGCTTTAGCATTAGGCACATGTACATGACTGTACATAATACATGCATGCACTGGGCATTAACGGTTGTTGTCCATCATTAGAGCTTTTTCTCGGGTGTGAATGCTAGGATGTGTTATTCTATCTTCACTGGAATGTGATGTCCTTACATGAAACAGAGAAGCCCATAAACCCTTCACCTTCTCGTTCCATGCAGGAAAAAAACAAACCCGCCTAAGCTCCCAAGCCAACAAAAGCAGTGACTGGTGCTGCTTCATTTGATACACGTCTGGCAGTATCTTAAAAACATGCGTTGTTCGAGCTCTTTGTTGAGCCACTGAACACAAATTCAGGGTTTTTTACAGGTAGGTTACTTAAAAGTAAAATTGGCATTTATTAACTCAATAACTCAGTGTTGGGATCAGTTTGAGGATGGCAATACAAATATGTATTTTGAACCATGTTTTTGATGGTTATACCTGATTGGCAGTCAGTTAGATTAGCTCATTATTCAAGCATACTACATACATTTGCCTGGATTTTATTTTGTATTTATTCATTTGAGATTGATGGTTCCACTAGTCCCCTTTTTCAAAAAGACGCTGATGAAAGAGCCGCTGTGACAGGCTTTAGTTAGAACTGACTCTTACGGACCCAAAGGGGAAAGGACAAGAACAAAGAGCTGAAATTAAAGGGCACGACAGCACTGTTTAAGAGGTTATAAAGAGGCTATAGGTGTGCCAGTCCATTTGTGTGTAGCTTTGGATGTACTTGTGGTGTGTATCTGCGTGTGTTGTAGATCACCTTTAAAAACAGGGCATATCTTCCAAACAGTAGCTGCCCCTTCCCTATTGTACTGGCCCAAGGCAAGTTCCATATAGAACAACGGCATCCCCGCAATTACCAGGAAAAGAATATAGGGGATCAAAAAGGCACCTGTAAAGACAGAAAAGCATTACATTTAGACTTTTTTTTTTATCTCTCAAATTCACCTCTAGTTGAACTTTTTATTTAGAAGAGAGAATTTTCTGTCTACTTGGTACTGAAACAGCCAGTAGACAAAACAAAACACCCCTCAAAATGAAAATAGAAACAGAAGAGGTAGGGGGTTTGACATTCTTGGAAAAAATAACAAACCACAGCATACTACAGGGGAGGCTCAAAGCTATTTTCATGCTGTGCCTCAGAAGCCCATCCACCAACAAGGAAATGACCTCTTATAATTGAACTGCTGTTGACATTGTCCATCATAGGTGACACAGTCTCCACAGTGATGAATGCATTTTGCTGAGGGCCAGTTTGACTGGCAGGCCGGTGGTGGAGTTGAGCACCAAGCACAACATGTTTATTTTTACCACGTGAATGATACATAGACAACCAGAATACAGGGCATACCTTCTAGTGAGCACTCTGCTGTTATGAATATTAAAGGTGATGGTTATAAAAGAGAATTATCGTTTGTTGGTTTGGCCACTCACATTTTGTTGTTCTCTCGCACCATAGTGCAGCTTCAGAGGTTAAAAGATTTGACTACAATCAGGACATGAATTACAGTGTAAACGTGAGCTGGAACACATGCTGGAGCAGTCAGATCAACTATGTAGATATAGTTTTTAACAGGATGCCCTCAGAAATGTTGCTTTCTACAGGCTTTACATAATCAAAAGGACGGGTTCTTATCATCATAAACACTTTACTTTATCTAGTTAAGTATCAAAGGTTTAGGTGAACTCTAAATATCCCAGTACATTGTTGTTTTGAGGGCATTTGCTCAATTTATTGAAAAAACTTAATTATACATTTGTTATGAAATGTTTTCCTGCAGGACGAATGGAGGTAACCATTGTCACGAAATGTATGGAACATTTCAAATAAATTAACAGGAAATCTAAAAATATACATTCAGCTGCCTGTAGTTACCCATCTGTCGTTTTCTGGGGAGATCTTGTCACTTTTCATGAATTATCTGACTCAAATTATACAGTTCAGCTGTGCATGCCTTGAAAAATAAAATGAGGCATTTCCTTCATCCTAGCTGCTAAAGGCACTTCCCCGTCAATACACCTGGGACTATTAAAGGAGATTAAAGGAGCTCAGACTAGAAGAAAAACTATACTTATCGACTTTAAATATCCACATATGAAAAAGTAACGTTGCAGTAATTTGCTATCCATGCCGTTTCAACATGTTTTGGAAACATTAGAGAATTGATTCATTATGAAATTAAAGAAAACACACATTGCAGCAGAAAATATGATTTCATTCCAGCTGTCCACCGCGAAATGCATTGTATCTGTTACTTGTTTACGATAAACAACGTGGAGTATATTACAACACAACTTAGCGATGCATTTCGTTTTAGATATTTAAACATGTATATAGCGATATGCGCAATAGAAAAAAAAACACATTATTAACTTACCTCCTCCATTTTTGTAGCACAAGTAAGGAAATCTCCAAACATTTGCCAAGTCCACCGCGAAGCCAATAACCGACAAGAGAAAGTCAATTTTCTTGCTCCAAGTTTCTCGCTCTGTCTCGGAGGTGGACCCAGGAGGACCTGCGCAGTGCCCAGGGGTGGGGATGATTGTGGAACTGGTATACTGTACACCATTCTGGTCCTTCACGAGTATCAGTTCAACCTCTTTCTTTTCCACGTTGCACTGTTTCAGCGGGGCAACCGATGAGAGTTTGTGTTCTGGTAGGACCTGGATGTTCATCTCTGCGGTGCGTGCGGAGTCCACGCCGGCGCGGTGCTCTCAAGGCCCCCTGAGGGTTCTGGTACCGCAGAGGGGCTGAATCGAGGCGCTGCGCTGAGGATCGCTATCCCGCTGGCAAAAACTTATTAAGCAAATATCCGGTATTTGCTATCTACAGGTGACACCTCCTTGTACATCGGCTGGAGAGGAGGGAAGACAGAGAGTTTGAAGAGGTTTGGTGTCTGTGCGTAAAGTTCAAGTACAGTTACGCGCAAGTGAAAATACTGTTTAGGGCTGCAAGAGGGGAATTGATTACTTATAAAGACCCCGTGTAAGTATACCTTAAACACACGTGCAGTGTTACTAGAAAATACTAATGTCTAGTGCAATTGTTAAGATGTTTTACGCAAATTCCTCTCTCTCTGCACGCGCTTAGTGTATTGTGAACTAAATTAAAAATACATATAATAAGGATGAATTAAAATTATAAATAACAACTTGAATGCAACTCCGTCCCTAAAACAATTCAAAGTTGTATAAAGCCATGTAAAAAACAGGCTCTTTGCCGTACTTGGTAAAGCTAAGGACACCTTTCCATGACCCGATGCTGTTGCTGTCTGGATGCATCTGAGAGAAGACTGCCCATTCTGAAGGAACTTTGAGACTCGCCTTCTCCAGCAGAGGATTAAAAAAATGCGAGCTTTTAAATCTGTTTCCTCTCTCTCTTCCACGTGATTTTTTTTTTTTATAATTGAACACTTTCTCTCCAGTTTGAAGACGACTTGGCACGAACACTTTTGTCTTGGCGCAAGTTTCTATAAACAGAGGGTAAACATCCACCTGAGCTGTTAGGACTAATCCACGTGGAGCGACACATCATACCAGGAGTTTAGTCTACAACATAAATATTTTAGTGGAGGAAAACCCTAATAAAAGCATATTTTTATGTCATATTCCATGAGGGTAAAATGCACTCCCCTGTTGACGCAGTGGCATGTGTTGGTGCTTTGATGCAAGTTTTTAAAAAACACATAACATCACCTTACCTATAGGTTCCTGTAAAACTAAAATTTACGACTAAACTTTTTTAATGTTTTAATTTGAACTTATCTGTTTCTTCTCTGTGCTAAACAGATTGAATTACAGTTTTCTAAGAAGCCGTAAAAGCTTTGTGTTCTATGTGTAATTCAATTCTACAGCTGCTTTTGCCAGGGGCAATGATTTCTATTAGATATGGTTGATCAGTTCATCCCATTAAAGTCAATGAATGTCCTCTTTGCTCTCCAATGCTTGTTTTATAAAGCCCTAATAGGGCTACTTTTGGGCCTTTTGTTTGTGGAGATTGAACAACTGCAGTGAAGATAAATTCACAGACCAGGTAACAATGAAAAAAACATGTCTTATTACTGTTGTTTTTGCCCGAGATAGTGTCATTGTTTTATAATATTTTGCATTGTGGGACACCTCTAAAAATCAGTGCAAATCTCCATGATATGTTTTATGTTGATTGTATCAAAGTGGATTAGTAAGGGTTTTCTTGTTGTTTAAGAAGTTGGTTTATCATCATTGAATATCATGATTATCGTCATTGTTTTATAATATTTTGCATTGTGGGACACCTCTAAAAATCTGTGCAAATCTCCATCATATGTTTTATGTTGATTGTATCAAAGTGGATTAGTAAGGGTTTCCTTGTTGTTTAAGAAGTTGGTTTATCAATACCGGAAGGCATAAGTAATATTAATTGTTTATGAGGGGAGAATGAAAACATCTTCATAGATGAATATTTATGTACATACTGTAGGTGACTCACTTGGAACACACTCTAATAGGAATTAGACCTATAACTATTTATTTATCCTTGGGGAATAGTTTTCAAGGCAGCGTAATATTATCTTTCACCTTTTACCTTGATGACCTTGGATTGTTTACACCGGTTTTTAAGACCTCACCTTTTGTCTTTCTCACCAGGCTGGAGCTCTCCCATGTTGACCTTCATTTGAGAATGTAATGAAAGACGACACAGCTCCTCAGCAGCCACCACGACCCCCGTGGATTTAACCAGACCATTTGAGTGGAATAAAGATAGTGAATATTCTGTTCCATTCTGTCTTTTTACACCTGCATATTTGAAGGACTGTGAGGGATGCTAGACTTTGAATGTGCTCACTGATACCTCATTAAAAAGCCACATGCTCACACTAAGGAACTGTTTCCTCAAATAAAAAACAAATGAAGTAATGATCTTTATTATTTTCAAATTCTTAACAATTTAAGTAAAAGGTCATTACTTTGTGGCAGTCGGATTAACGCTGCATGGAGTTTGTTTTGTTGTGCACCCTATTAAACCTCTCTGGTTTAAATCTCACAGGGCCTCCTTGAATTTGCAGTGTCATTAGGCTGTGGCCTCTGGGCTTTCTTGTGTCTGTGGAGAATTATGTATCGCAGCAGTTTTAGATCTTTTCCCCTCCTTGCAGTATATGTAGGGGGAACAGCATTGTGAGTCAGCATCATTCATGATGACCAAGAAACATGTAGTTTCTTGGTCATCTCAACTCAGTAGGACACATATTATCCTGGAAAGGTGGGATATGGTTAGGTGTGCAGGGAAGCAGCATAAGCTCCTTTGTGTTGGGAAGCCACAAAAGCTCAGGACTATACCTTCTAAAGCATGAGTCGTTGAACTGTTGTTGCTGGCAACTAAGGATAGTCTTCCTTGACTAGTTTTATCTACAGGGAGGTCTCAACCTTTTGCAACACAACAGGGGGAATGTTTGATTTAAGGCTGAATAGTGGGGACTAAATATGGTGAGTAAGTGAAAAGTGAGGATTTTTAAGGTTTCTGTTTGAATTGGGTAAAAAAAAACATGCATATTCTGCTAATTAACATGTCTGATTGAAAGAAAAAGGTATTCCATCTGAAACCCATTTGAATTTCTAAACAATTAATTTATACATCTCATTTCTGAAAATGTTCCACAAGAGTGTTGAGTGTTTATGAATACTATAAGACATAATCATTTTTCTTGCTCAACGCTTAGAGATAGTGAAAGAAACATTGAGTATCATGATTAAGCATGTTTTTCCATTTTCCCTGGAGCGCACAGGCTCCGGTTTGAGTTTGCTTGGCAACTATTAACATTTACGAACCTTATTTGGTGATTAAAAGACAAATGTCTATCAACAACCTTAGGTTGACGCATTCTTGAATATTAGACAGGAAAAGTTGTTGCCCGACAGCCCAAAAGAACATCTGGAAAAGAGTCAAACAAAGAGATGTGAAACTCCCAAAACACTGAAGACGAAAACAAACGTGGGCTGCAGATACTGGTGCAGATAACACTGTTGGATGACCCATGTTTCATACAGAATCTCAAACTTTGCCCTCACCAGGACCTCCGCTGTTCCTATAAACCATCACATGGGAAATGAGGAACAATCCTTTTCCTGAGAGAATAATGGGAGAAAGAAAATCAACAAGGTGTCTTCTGGTGCGGTAAGGAAACCTAACAATGAGGTTTGGAGGAACTCCCTGAAGAGCTGAAGGAGACAAGCTGCCAGGCTCAAGCCAGCAGAAATCAGGGGTGTGTGAAGATGTATGCATGTGAGTGCCAGTATCACAGCACAGATGTATAAAATCCACACCGAGTCAAAGTACATCAAATAAACATCCACAAGAATGAATATATTCTCTGCACAGAGCAGATGGACAATGCGATCTGAGAGCATAGAAAACAATGAATTCCTCATGCTGGAAATTGATGGAAATTTGATGATATCTTGAAAGTTGGGTAATTCTTATTACATTGTTGTAAACACTGCATAAAATAATGTCAAATATGTGCAGCTGCTTCCGTGGTAATGCTATCACTGCAATGAGGACCAGACCATGCTGTTTTCAAACAGAATGCATAATATGATACTTTACCTTCTCGCCACAAATCAAAATTTCTTTCTAATTTCCGGCATTAAAAAAATGGTTGTGCTGTTCTGTCCAGAAGGTTTCCAAGCATTATTTCTTTTACTGTTTATGCACATTGGACTGACCTTTCAAAACTCCACATCAATGATCGTCATGCAGTATGAAGGCTGGGTCAGAGGAGTGTATGTGCACGCCCAGGTATCCTGTTGTTATAGGCAGGAAAGTCCATTCTATAGGAAGGAGAGGCAAGAATTTCTTATGTAATGTTCCTAAAACATCCTTGCTCTAATGATGCGTAAGCAGCCCTCGCTCCTATTTTTAAAATGGGTTTTCGACAGTGGTAGCTCAATCAGTTGGTTGTGTTGTATCTCTGTGGTATAGCAGGTCAGACGTGAATTGGTGCAGTTAGCATCTACAGCTGAGATCAGGACAACCAAACATAGAGACAATAATTAACTTTTATGCAGGTGCCATATATGCAAACTGTTCTAATTCGCTTTGTTTTTTCAATAATGACAAACAAACCTTTCGAAGACACACTCAATCAGGACTTAGTCTTGCTTGCTGCTGCCTGTTTAAACTGACGCGCATACTTCTGCCAGAACAGTTTAACGATGCGGCCTGTTGACGCTGACCTTTTCTTCGAGCTTGACACGGTGAGTTCCCCATCTGTATGAGGCCTGTGTCCGGCCTGTGCTCGCAAACAGAGGCTGCTCATTCACTCAGGTCCTGAGGAGACCAAATCAAATTACCAACACATATCTCCCACAATCTACTGTGACAGGATCACCCTCCAGGCAACGCTGAAATGGATACAGCAATATACGACCAGTGGAAAGCAGGAGGATGGAGGGGCGCAGGGCTGAGACAGAGGAGCAAACACTGTGGGTAGGGAAGGAGTCAAACTGTTGTAAGCATGGCAGCAAAGTGATTTAATTGATTCTATGGCATCTCATCAATTTTGATCAAAATGAAATGAGCCTCTGTACGTTTGAAAAGGTTAAAACAAATTGAACGTGGAAATCACAGCTGGTAATCACAGTTTGTCTAACAGCAGGCTTTTAATGAGGAGATCCTTTTTCCATCCTTCATTTCAGACTCCTGTGTGTGCGCATACATAGCAAGATGGTGCAGCCAGATGCATTTCTGTGCATGTGTGAGACGTGGCAAGTATTTTTTTTGCCAACAACCTTTATGAGCATTATTCACACTTCTCAAAGCAGTTGAGGACAAATTAATATTCTGATAATACGAGCTCAAAATCTTGGAAAAAAATAAAGGCAGTGTTTTGATTGATGAGAAGACTTTTTCTAATTCTTGTCCCTTAAGGCAATAAATCCAGTAAACGTCTTGGACACATTTCACAATGATAACACATCGGTTCACAGAGAAGCCAGATGAAGAAATAGAATAGTGCACAATCTATTACCACATAAATCATGATAGTATAATGTTTTTTCTAAACCTATACGTGAGATCAAATCTATAAAAAAGAAAAAAAAAGGACTTCTTGACATGTTTATGTATTATATTGAGTTGTCTGTTATCTTTTGCTGGTGTGAAAACAAAAGACAATTACAGAAATCCCTTAAATCCTCTTACGACCCATCTGTATTAATATTTGACGATTTCATGATTGCATGCAACGATTAATGTAGCTCCATTATTCACTTTGAACAGTGTGGGAGAGTGTAAAACACAATTAAATAAAATTAGTCTCCATTCACACAGAGAACTCCAACAGTGGAGGAACGGAACAGGCCTCACTGTTAAAAACACCTCAAATATTACACGCAATGCACTGGAAGCTCATCATCTTAAAAGTAAATGCTTGAACTTACAAAAAAACCCTTTCAAACTGCACAAGCAATTGGAGAAAGAACACACATACACACTCCCTTTAACACACACACTAGAATTGAAACAGGTAACTACTGGCACCTTGTGGTGGTTTAAGAGCTGCTGCAGCGAAACTGTAGCCTGCCCCTTGCGATTGGGTCTCATTAAGAAACAAAGTCTGAGAAAGTTATTACAAGTTTCCTGAGTGATGAATATCTTTAAAAAAGTCATGCAAACACAAACAAGGAAAAAGTGTTGTGTTGTGTTGTTTTATTTTAAAAAGCAAATTTTGCAATGTTAACAAGAACAAGTAAAGCCACATAATTGCAATACACCATGCTAAATAAAATAACAATGCCTCTTGTTAATCTCAAAGCATACCCTGCTGGAATATGCTGCTGTGAGGACGCACTGTTGCCTTTTTGCTCACAAATTGCCCTATTTTCAGTGGTTGATTTGCTTAAGTAAACCTAAAACTGCACAGACACGCTGCTGTCTCAGCAACAACAGTCTTCAGTAGAAATGCAAATAGATAGACATGCAAAGCAAACCTCTGGCTAATTATAAAGGCGTCTTACATGGTTTGTGTCCCTGAGCGCTGGAAAAAAGTGTAATGCACAGCATATGCTCTTTGTAAACATGGCTCTAACAGACAGGAAAGCTCTCACTAAAGCTAACTGAACACTAATTATACTGCCACACTAAAGCACATGAACTCCTCACCTATATTCAAAATGTGTTGATTTAGCTACTTTTCCTCTTATTTGAAGACAATCCACAACCATGATGGAAAAAGTACCTTAGGATGTGTTCATTGGAGTAGAAAACGGATAGGGTCATAAAAATTTTGTTTTAACAGAAGGAAATAAAAAAATGTTAAAAAGGAAATAGTAAAACACAGTTTTCGATATTTCTATACCAGTTATAGATAACATGTTTGGGGACTGCACATTTAAAATACCAATAAGGCACCAAAAATACTTGATATGAGTATGAATTTGCAAGTTAAACCACGCCGAAATGGAACCTTCATATTTTTTCTTTCAGTGAAGCCAAGCAAATTTTCAGTCATCTTTTTTGTCTGATGTGCTATCTTCACTATTCCCTCCAGAACTGACACAACCAGCCAATTCTAGATCCCCTGGTCCTGCCTCTTGAATGGCTTGGTATCGCTGAAGCTCCAGGTAGGTGGTAAAGAGCTTGGCATACTCAGGGTGGGTTGTGGCAAAAGCCTGGAATTCATCTGAAGAATCACAACCAAAAAGAAAATAAACTTGTATACATTACAATTTCACAATGATACACTGGTGGAGGTACAGAGGACTCAAAACAGAAATATGGTTTTGTCCCAAAAGATAATCAACTTACTGAAGGTGATAAAACCAGAACCATCAGCATCAATCTCCTTGAAGAGTTTGGCCATGTTTAAATCTGACACGCCCAAAGCAGAGCACAGCAGAGCAGTGAACTCCTTGTGGGTGATTTTTTCATCTTCATCTGTGTCGAACAGCTGCAAAAGGGAGGACAAAATTTATATGAAAATTTATTCAAAAATACACACACAAGAAAACACAAAAAACACACATAGGCTGAGAAAAACCATAAAATACAGCATATTCGACTTTTTACGAATCAGCAAAGAAAAATAAGCTTGCCGTTGCTGTGTATTGAAAACCATGTCTAAAGTCATGGCCAGCCAAAAACACACCATCTTTTACAATAACAGACACACTTTGTTAACTTGACATTATCCATGCCTCTGTGAATCCTGCCTGTGTTCCTCCTGCAGCAGTGCTGTCTCTGACTGCTGTACACAGACAGGAAACTGTGTTTCTGGGTGCTTGGTCGTTTCTGTTTAGTTCTCTTTATCATTTTAACTTTACCTTTTCATACTCTTTATAGATGCCACTTTACAGCATATGTACAATATGTACAGAAAATGTTATAAATGCCTTCTTTATCCTTCACAAAAAAACAATAAGAAGTCAGGGCAACTCTTACATCAGCAGGAAATGTGTAATGCAATAGAATAACTAGGGTGGATGTAAGAGGGGTAGTGTGGCATCCCTGTCTGTCAAGATGCATGCAAAAAAGCCATGGTAAGTCCTTTCTCTCGAACAAAAACACAAATGTGTCATTTGTTTTTCCATCCTACCCGAAAAGCCATTCGCAGCACGTCTTCCGTGTTAGCTGGTCGACACAAGATGGTCACGCCGATCACATACTCCCTGAAATCAATAGTGCCATCTCCATCCTGTGCATGTCAAACAGACAGAACGGAGCGTTAAGATGGGCAGTGCTTTTAAATGTATTTGCAACCCATAACTGAGCAAATCTGATCATGCAGATGGCTGATTCCTTTTTGACGTTCCTTGTCAATCTTTCCGTCTTTTTGTGAAAGACAATTCCCTAAAATGGAAGAAGTATGAAAGTATGAAGACCCCATTGTCTGAGCAAAATATGTTCTTCATTATTTTAAGAGCAGATGTGTGTTGTTCTGTGGGCTTTTTTAAATCATCCATTCTACCTCAGGCCTTCTGCAAGCAACATCAGTGAAAAGGTGAACTGATTTCATCATAACTTCCTCTTTCAGGTTGCATAAATCCCAAAATCCTGCGACCACACCCTCCTCTTAATTACATCTATGTTGGCATGACGTACATGCGGTGAACCTGTCCTTGCAGAAGTAGACATAATAATATTAGCATGTTCAATAACATTCCGTTCACAAACATGTTCTCACTCTGTCGAACAGGGAAAACAGCTCCTCGAGAGCTGGGTTGACAGGCAGCTTCAGGAATGTTGCAAACTCGTCAATAGTTATGCGTCCTCCATTACAGGCGCTGGCCATGGCAGCAAAACCCTCCAGCTCCTTCTTCACATTGTCCCACTTCAGACTTAGCAAAAAAAACAAAACATTATTACAATTAGAAATATTAAATTTTCTTTGAAAATGTGTCTGAAGTGTAGCTTAATGGCATTGTCTTACTTGAGTTTGCGACTAATTTTGGTGAACTCAACCAGACCAGCTTCCATTGGAAGTGTCAATTCTCCAGCTGAGATCATCAGGCGACAGTCTTCATATGTATGATCTGTCACTGGAACTCCCAAAGCTCTGAAAGCAAACAGTTGTCTTATGGGCCGAAAAAATTGGATCAGAGTTATACAGAAACCTCAACTCAACCCACACGTGTGTTTCATCAACTCCTGGCCGTACACATATTTTACACTTTATTTTTCACGTGTGAAAATACATACATGCAAAAAACAAGCTCTCACTTTTCTATGGAACTTTGTTCTGCTGTTCACTCGAGGGACACACAGACGTATAAGCAATTCAAAGTGAGGAAAGTGATTGGTATGGCACCTTTCAGCAACACGGGGATTTCAACAAGGCATAATAGGCATTAAACCATAGAACACTCACTGGGCCATAATTTCTCTCACTCTGCTGGCAAACAGAGCGGGGCTTTTCTTCTCCTCTTCTGTGGGGACGTGAGGTGGCAGGAACTGAAGAACAAACAGGGGAGAAAAAGGTCGCAAGGCAGGTCAAGCAGAAAGTTTTAACATCCGACACTTCTGCACGAAGGCCAAAAAGGACGTCTGTGCTACCGGCTCATGTGGTGTCACGGAATGCCAATTTGTTCTCATAAAAGAAGAAAGAAGATTTGTTCATGTCAACATAGCAAACCATAAGCACCATCTAAAAGCACTACACCTCTTTCCACAGCATCATATCCCGATGCACACAGTAAGTAAAAGCAAAATGCTTTTACCTCAATCTCAACAGTGGTGTAGAGCTGGCACAGTGTCAGCAGCAGCAGCGTCTTCCTGCAAACACAAGCGTAATGGGCTATCATGTAATGTTTATATGTATATCATAAACAGTGCCTTTAAAACTATTCGTCTCTCTTCCTGCTTTAATTTGTAATTCACATGAATGTTTCGAAGAAATAAATCAACCAAAATGTACTTTAAGAGAAAGAGATGAAATTCCAAATGAACGGTTTAAATTGTACAAAAGCAAAGCGGTGGTGTGTACAGTGTGTATTCCCTCTCTTTTAGTGTAGCGCTTAAAAAGTATTAGCGCAACCTATTATCTTCAGAAGTTACAAATTGAAAAGAAAATGGCCAATCTATGTGCACATCAATGTCAAATCATCTCTGTATTTATAGACCTGATTTAAAAGGCCCCAGAGGCACCATCAAACCACAAACAGCACCATGAAGACAAGGAGATTCTAAAGCATACTGTGAAGAACTAAAATCAGGGTTAGCTTTTAAATATAAAGAAATGGAAACATTTTCTTAGCCCATGTAACACCACAACAAACCCACTTAAGGATGGAATGAAAAGCTGGAAAAACATCAAAAGGGGGGTGGGTCATTTCATCATCTAGCCTTATATTTTATTAAGGGCTGTCTAATAAGAAGATTCAGAAGAAACTGCTTCGATAAAACATGCGTGCTATATTTGAAAAGGAACATTTCGATTCACTACTCACGAGCTGAAGCCTTGCCAAGTCCAGGTCACTGTATCCTAATAGCAAAGGACAGCGAAATGCAAAGAGATTTATTAAAAATACACTTACACTAACATGGGGAGATTTTCTTATTTACAATCAAACGGCAGAGAGTCCACAAATCTGTTTCTTATTTACAGCATTTTTCCTCCTTAAAAACTCTCAGGTACAATATGGCACCTTACATTGTCTCCTAAATGAGGTGACATTAGAGAATGACAGTGACTCACCAGTTTGTTTGGATATCTAATGATCACAGGCTGCACGGGGACCCCTGGGATAAAGGCACCTAAGAGCAAAGGAATATTAAACACTTACTCTCCGTCACCATGTTTTGAAACATTATGGTAATAATGTGCCAACACCTTTCTATAAGTTAAGGCAGAAACAGTGTCACATTCAGAATATTTGGAAATGTGCACTATCAACTGGTCTTTTCTGTGGTAGCTTTTCTCCCCTGCAGATAAGCTGTAAATGAGAACGCTGAGAGTGCTTTAAGCAGCAGAAAAAGGAACCATTAAACAGGAAACAGAGCTCTTTTTTTTCTTCAGTCTGTTCTTTTTGTATGTGTTTATTGGGCTCTGTTGCAACATATATACTTCGACATCTATATCTTTTTCCACTTACCTTGTTTAAACGTAATAAGACACGAGCGATTGGTACAAGTTCCCTCTGGAAATATCAGAACCTGAGGAACAAAATCATTAGTAGTGAATTGAATGTTTAAATAACATATTTGATCAGGCTTTAATCAACCAGGCCAACCAGACTTATCTAACACACAGCAAGCTCCTTCTGGAGTAAAGTTAAAAAGACTTAGGCTTATGAGGCAGGGTCTTTCAAATATTACACATGAAATAATTGGTTAAAACCAACATCCTGCATGGCAAAGGATTGTTCCTCAGTTTCTGCCTGTTAATGTGGCAAACCTGTGGCCAGTAGCCTCCTGATTTTGCTCTCTTGTCAATTTCCTGAATCGTGTTCCTCCTGGAGTCCGGGTCATTTCTGGATACCAACACTGGCTGGAGACACCGCACAAACCCTGCAGACAGGGCAAAAAAGAGAAGGATTTCTATCACTACAGTGATTTTTTCAAATAAGTTGTTTTTGTTTATTACTTCACGTACCTGCTTGTTTTGTTAGCATTAAATAAGTGAAGAGTATTTCCCTGGACAGTAATTTATTCGTATGACATGAGAGTTAAAGCATAAGAAACTTAGATATCCTTCTGTTCCCTTTTATTTAAAAGGTGTTCAGTTGCACAATCATGAGAAGAAAAAAGCTCCCATGCTCGTCTTTTGCATGTTCACATATACAGATCACACTGTTGATATTTTCACAGCGAAAATGGCTTCCTACAGCACATACGCCCCAGCTTTCCTGTTTTAAAAACAACCACACCAATGATGAGCGTCTTACTGCCAAAGATGGGTGTAGCCAGGTTCTCCACACGTGAGACGGTGGATGGCAAGCCGGCCACGATGCACACAATTCCATCAAAAAAGGTGGAGTGAGGGGCCACGGCCAGGATTGGGGCCTCGCTGCTGCCGACCTGCGTCCCCTTCACTACCACTCTGAAACCCATGCTAAAGTAGTACGCTCTGCCCAAGGCAGCCATCACCCTTTGACACATGGATCTGGAGGTGCAACAACACAGAACAAACAAGGTTAACTCAATTATGGAGGTGACTGAAAACATAGAAACATTGATAAAGCAGAGATGTTTAAAGGTTTTCCACATATTTCTCAGGACTTTCTTTTCAATGGGCAGAATGAAAGGGTTTTAGTAAAGGGGAGACTTACACCACTGATTAATGGTCTGTAGTTCTTTAATGCCAATGTGTTTTACCTTCACTAGCTCCTCTGAATCTAATAAAAGGGCAGGGTATCATAGTTTAGACAGATGCAGTGGGACAAAATGATGAATGGCACTGTGGAACTTTTAAGGCTTGTTCAGAGATTACAAGACCATGAATATTTAAAGCTGTATTAATCCTGCTTCACTGGGCAGGGAGGGTATTAACATGTTGTGCTGGTTTCAGAGTAAAAAGCTTACACTTTAATCAGCTGGTCAAGTCCTAATTGTTAAGATATGGATTCATTAATTATGCAGAGGGCGCAGAGCCGCATTATGAGAAACAATTTAAAGCAACAAATCTGCTGCACAGAAAAAAAATGTTTTCCCGATACTAAAAGCTTGAAACACACTTAGAATATCTCCAAAAGAGTCAATCGATTTACGTGGTAAGTGTTTCTCGTTTATCCCCTACACCCTGTGTGCTCATTGTCACATAGGAAACTGTGGTCACAAGATCTGTGTGTGAAACAGAAATATGAGTCAACTATTGGACACAAAGCTGACACCATTTAAGAAGCAGCAAAGTGTTAATTATACAGGGGACAGTTTTATGCATAGTGATATTATAAAAACAGCCCTAACATAACTGAATTTACACTACAGAGGGAAAACATAATAAACTTTTCACTTGATTTATATGTTGGCACTAATAACAGCAATATTACTAACACCTGTCTACTTCCTCTTAGAGGACTAAGGGGAGTGGAGCTGATGTAATGCTTGAGGGGGGGAGCCATCCATTTTTGTTCTGCTTATTCCCAAAGGGGCTGCGGGGGGGCTGGAGCCTATCCCAGCTGACAACGGGCGAGAGGCAGGTTACACCCTGGATGGATCATCAGTCCATTGCAGGGCCACACAGAGACAAACAACCCCCTCACACTCACATTCATTCGTAGGGGCAATTTTGAGTATGCGGTGGAGATAAGATCTAGAAAACCATGATTCTGCAAAAGTGAACCCAGCATTGCATTCGACAAGCCACGTCAGGGAGTATTAGTTTGAGTATGCCCTGCTCAGCTTCAAGGCACATTTCCTCTGCTTCTGTCTATTCTGAGTGTGTTCGTGTTTAAATGTGACCCTGTGAATGTCTTCAGCTGTAGGTTTACATGCAGCTCTGGGTCTGAAACAGGAGCTCAGGTATGCACACTGACTCCGTTTTTATCTCCTCGATGTTTATGTATTATAGAAACATAGTCTGGAGCAAACAGGTGTATTTCTGAAAAGATAAATCTATGCTTGTGCTCTAATAAGCAGTGACCTATTTTTTATCACTGTGTTGTCATGTTTGTGCAAGATTTTGTGTGAATTGTAACTGTTGGCCAACGGGCATTTGCATAAACAAAGTATGCCTGTGCGTGCTTGAAATGCCAACACAGATGAGCATTCATCATGGACATAATACTTTAAGTATCATAGTTTTAAAAAAAATGATCAGGATGTCTGTTTCTTGTGGAGAGTTGTATTTATTAGTATTACTGTGTCAATCCAGCAACTGCTGTGTTGAAATGATCTGTGCGATTGTCACTTTTTTATGCAAAAAAAATATTTTAAAGTCAGTAGGTGGCCGGGCCCATGATGGTTACGTGTAGACTGGTGCCCGTGAGGCGCAGTCGTCTGTCTGAAGCTATGCTAAGAGAGTTTGTATCCATAGTTACCGTCTCCAGCCAGTCATTGGTGCCACGGCTCCCTTCAGAGGATGCCTGAAAGTTATGATGGCAGCTACTGGCCATGTCACCATCAGGACCAGGGCAATGAGGATGGCTCGCAGAGGGACCAGGAAAATCCCCAACAGGACACACTGCACGGAGAAGGGCACTTTTAAAGCACACCCCCCCCACGCCAACCGATGCATTGTGGGCCTTATACTGCTCTGTCAGTGTCATCTGAACCCTGGTTAACATCTCCCCTTCAAAAGGGAGAAACGTGGACGGACTCTAAGAACCCACTTCTGTACTTCAGCAAAAAAAAAGCCACAAGGGCTCTCATTGTGTCAGTGCGACCAGCCGGCTGCCAAAGCCGCTGGAGAAGATTACAGGCCTGGTTACACAGTAGCCTGCGAGTGTGTATGTGTGTGTGTGTGTGTTTGTGTGTGTGTGTGTGTGTTTGTTTGTAATCTACTACATCTGAAACAAAGTGAGCACTGTGTGGCAAATAAGCGATGGCCGTTCCGTGAAAATCTACCCTATGGACACCATACTCACTTTGACAAGCGCGGCTTTGGTCAGGGTCGTGTCCTGGACGAAGGGGTTGATGACCGCGGGCAGCAGCAGAGATTTCTGCCTGGGCAGGGCGAACACTCTCTGCGGAGGCATGGCCGTCCTGTCCGCAGACGCACAAGGAAATGTTGCCCCGGCGGAACGCTTATGTTATCATCTCACTTCCTCAACTGGGGAGGGATAGGAGGGTGCAGGGGGGTGGGGGGGGGGGGAGCAGTTGTTTTAATTTTGCGGTTTTCCGCGTAACGACCTGCGACGCGTTAACACGCACACACGCGCGCACACTCGGACACAGAAGAGGCTTCAGGCTTCAGGCTCCTCCTCCAAACGCGCAGCCAGGATCCCCTCCGGAGTTTATACCCGAGAAGTTAATTATTTTTCTGTTGTCCACGATCGTTGCACCGCTTTAAAGGGAGTGGTCCCGTTCCTTTCCAACTCGCCTTTGAGTGCGTTTCTCATCCAACCACAGAGAGCTGCGCTGTGGTCTGACAGGAGGTGTGTGGGAACATTTGGAGAGGATATGAAGAAATACACGCAGTTTGAAAAAGTTGAGCAGAAAAAACAGCCAACAGTTATTCAGTGTGTTGCCAAATATTAGGATGAGTTTTCAATCTCACCCGTAAGATGGCGCAGTTCGACAAGAAATATTTGCACTTGACTGACGTCTGTATGTGTGTGTGTGTGTACTGTGTATTTGTTATACCAGTACGAACAAACTCGCAAAGTATATAAAAAATCATTATATTGATCATCTTTATTGATGACAGTAACAAAGTGCACAAGCATTAAAAACAACACAAGACATAATGACTATATTGTTAAAACTCAAGATAGAAAACTTTATATATATAAAACACCAGTAAACAATGCTACTGCAGTATTCTTGTCATGATTCCATCATCCAGCAGACCTAACCCCTGCAGGCAACCTGTGCCAGTAATCTGTACCATTAGTAAAGGGCAGTGCAACATGGAGTTGCTATGGCAATATCTTGTCTCCTTATGGTGCAGTTCCCTTGTATACTCATATACAAAGAGCTAACCAAACGAAGAAAAATGAATGCCTGCAAATACTACTTTCCAACCTCCAGAGGATACTAAGTAGTCCTATCAGACATAGTTACACATAATATAAAACATAGGGAATACATGTATGACTATATGCAAAAAGCAATCTCTAAAAGCACCATTTTCGGTCACATTGTGCAAAGTCGTTTTTTCTTTGTTTCAAATGTATTGCACAACAATGAGAAAATAATCAAAATGGATACATTTGTGTAGCTAGACTTTTTACAATGAAAATACATCAAAGCCACAGCCAACATCCTCACATGGTGTAAAACAGTCTTTAGAATCAAATTTTTATAAATCAGCAATATCTCACAGCACATTATAGTACTGTGCTCAAGGCAGTGTGGACATACCCGATGTCAGACTTTTTAAAAAATGATTAAAAAACATAGTAAAAAAACAATGAATGATCGGTTACATATCTTCATAGTACTTTATAAACATAGGAAATGAAATGACAATCGACACAGAAATAAAGCAAATAGCCGGCCTGAGCAGAAGGTCACGTTGTACCATTCTACACAGCCGGAGATTGGTTATACAGGCTGGCGGACATGTGTCCCATTGAAGCATGCTGAGTAGCCAGCATAAAAACCTAGAACAGTGTGCACTGCAGCAACCTCGAGTTGTGTGCGATACAATGATGACGTCCTCTTGAGACGAGACCTTCATTACCTGTTGGAAAACATTTCATCCGATGCTCAGCAACCAAGCCAGTCCTTTGTGATTTCACCCAGCTTGACGATCTTCAAGCTGCTGTCTTCTAGTTTGAAATAGTGGTTTCCTTTGAAGAAATAGCTGTAATCTGTTAAAGTGAAGCAAAATTATGATCAGAATTTCTATTTTACATTCATCTTGACAAACAGATCAAATCATTGTATAATCACAGTAAAGCAATTCATTTTGTATCAATATCATATCAACTGTACACTCAGTTTAAATCAAGGTGGTAAGCATTAATATAGCCAATCAGGCTTCTCCACAGCCAAAGTGGAGCATGTCTGTCTCTGAATTATGCTAATCAAACAGAATACAGAGGCACCTCTGTAGAAGCTCACAGACTTGCTTTATATAAATATGCGTATTCACTTCATGGGGATGTGGCTATGTGATGCTTACAGTACTCTGTGTATGTTAGTGAGGCAGTTATGGAAAAATCCCAAGGCAAAAATCTGCATACCCCTCTCAATCCTCTGGCATACCCGCCGCACCAGTTCACCAAGATTATCAGGCCGAAAATGTAACATCATTAATCCCTCACTCCAAAACTGCAATAGCCTTCTACCCAGCAGGAGAAGTGATTATAAACCTGTGTGTCACTCGCTTACTGGAAATTCCTGAGTCAACAACTAAAAGCAGCTGTTCTCCTACTCACTGTCTGTCTTCTATCATGGCCATCCTGCAGTTCACTCCCTAAATTCAGAACTATTTACTTTCCTCTATTACATTTGCTTGCATTTTTGGGAGGGCAGCTCCTCTAAACTGAGCTTTACTAACAGCGCCACGGTTCCAGGATCACGGATTGCACATGCTTGTACAATTCACCAGAAGGAATGTGCAGACTGTAAAATCTGCAATGTTAAAACTCAACAGCATTTACCACAAACTCAGAAGGAATAAACTCACGAAGACTTTCCACTACGTTCATCCAGTGCCCCAGATCAGAACAGTTTAACAAGCAAGACCAAATAAAAAAAGGTTTTTCCCTTTATTTTTATGAAATCCTGTAAAAAACGTAGTAGTTGGAACCAGAATCCTTAATGGGACCATTTTCTTCATATATCTCCCACTGGATTTCTGCCCACATTACTCAATATTTGCATCAGATTCCTCGAGGATCCCAAAACATCTCTCTGGTAATAATCACCTCATAACCTCACAGCTATAAAGAGCTACAACGACAAAAAATTCAGCTCCCTAGTTTTACAGCCAGGACATTTGATTTATCTTAACATTGTGAGTCCTCTCCCTTTTTCAACCACGAGAATGATATACTTTTCTATCCTTGATACATTTCACCATATTTTTCAGGTTTAAACACACATCCTGCTGGAGTTGATGTGAAAAACTATTTAGAAAAAAGAAAGCATGCTACCACAATACTTCTTTCATGAACAAGCCAGCTATATGCACATCAAAGCATAGCTGCGTCTAACAATGTTGCTAGCATGGGCAGACTTTAGCCTTGTTAAACTTTAATGACTTGGCTTGAATCCATTGCTGCTTAATGGAAAATGCTGCCAAATTATATTGCTTTTGTAAAATGCCTGTAAATTGTAGAGATTGGCAGAAAACATTTGTTTTGATCATTTTCAGTTTTAATCAATAACTCCCACCGCTAGTTTCTGTTCAGATCTAGAAATTTTCCAGAACCTTTCACAAATGCTCCGTGGGAGGAAAAAATGTGTTTTTACCAATGTCAGTCAGACTGAAGGCAGAGTCGATGCCATCTGGGATGCCATTCCAGGAATCAGCAATAAGTTTGGGAAAGCCAGGGTCCATTCTCTGACTGTTTTCATCATATCTGTGCACAAGTAACAAAAACAGTGGAAATGCATCTTGTAAGGAGTATATTAGAGTTCTTGCACACATTTTATTCCATGGAAACAAAACAATGACTCAACAGCACTACGAAATCTAATGCTGTGTAACCGATCTGCTTTACGGTGCAGTTAAGCCAGCACTAATTCAATCCAGATGCTATTCATAATAATAAGATATGACAAAAAGTCAACCTAAGGTTGGTAAGATAATGGCTTAAAGCTTTAAAATGGTTGCAATTGTTTTTTTTTATTTCCTCACCTCCAGAATTTGTCCCCAGCAAACAGGTAGGTCTTCCTGTTCTTCCCGAAGTTAAAGGCAGCGTCGATTCGTGACAGGTCAGTGGGCAGGTCAAGGCTGGAGAGCTTCTTTGGGTAGCCTCTCTCCAGCTGATCTGCTTTGTAAATCCAAATCTTGTTGCCTGGGATAAAGGAGTCATGTATTAAACTAGTTGAAAGATTTTTCATTTGTTTAGTACAGGACCTTCATATTAAGCTTTTGACCCATCAGTTATTCCCCAAGCCATTAAAACCTCAACTATAATATGTAAACCTCATCAGTATTCAGGAAGCTTGTCATATTAGGACGATGCTAAGAATGCATCACATACCACTAATAACTATGGTGGAACATCTCAAGTTCTAACCACACACACACACACACACACACACACAAGTTCTCAGCCAACATTCCTCAATGCTCCTAAAATTCCAGTTCATAGAAAAGGCTTATCAAATGGTAAGACTGTGGTAAAAGAGGGAGGAAAATATTTTATATCTCATTCGAAACTGATCTGTTTGCAAAGACGTGATTATTGAGAGGGTCTTGATTTGCTCTTTCTAGTAGCTTTTGGCTTTCTTCTGCATACCTGCGAAAAAGACAGTTTTCTCCTCCACGGGGTTTTCATAGGCAGCATCAATCTGTGCAGGCAGGTCAGGCCAGTAGGTGGCCACTAGCATAGGGCCACTGGGCTTGCTTCGGAAGTTGACTGACCTGAATAGGAACCTGGCAGAGAAAGAATGAGTGGATGAGATCTAAGGTAGATGAGATGGAGATTAAATAAGAGTGAGAGTGAAAGGGGGACAGAGAGGATTGAGAAGGTGCGTGTGTATGTGTGTTTGAGCCACGGGGTTTAGTGCAAGTGCTTCACTGGCCCAGTCAGCTACAATGGCCTGATTCATGAGCATCTGGTTCTCGTTAGGACTAACACTGCAGACGCCAGCGGAACAAGACCCATCTTGCCTGGATTTCCAATACACAGCTGCGCAACGGCAGCGACTTCCCAAACTCTTTTCCACTGACCTATTTCTTAGCTTAAAATAAAATGGAAAAAAAAACTGCTAACAGCAAAAGTTGAGAGTCAAAAAGATAACACAGAGATGAGAATAAAACTAAGAAGCATACAAAACATATGGTAAACTAAATCAGTTGTTAGGATGAAACAAGTGGCATAACCCCAGCCTGAGCTGACAATCTGCAATTTCTGTTATTTCAGAGGTTCTCTGCTTTATTCCCACACATTATATAAAAGTCAAAAACAGTGTCTGCCTGAGGGCTTGCAAAGAGGACGGACTCCCAGGACACAGATAGAGAATTCTCCAAAGCATCATGATTCAGATATTTCAATGTCTTTTCAGTTTGTTTCAGTTTCTTTTACCTTTCTTTTTTTATGGATTTTGAATGCATAATTTCTGAGACTCTTTGTCATTAAATAGGTAATCCACTTTTCTTGTACTTGTAGTTAGCATGGTAGTGTGATACATTTTTATTGAAGCAGGTCAACAATAATGTGTTATGACAGCTCTTAAAGAGATTTTAGCATCACCTACTTTTACTAAATCCGATTTTAAACTTCACTTAGTTTTAATTATATGAACATTTTATGCTGACTTGAAGTCTTGTTCTGTGGAAACATGTACAATGACAGGTTATGTAAAAACACCATCATTAAAGCGTGTCTCATTTGCAGTAAAAGGTTTTTTTTTTATATAACCCTTTTTTTCTCCTGGTGCCATATGCTCGTTTTCAGCCTCTCAGTATGTTTGCATTCAGTTATTTCTTTTGCTAAAATGTTACTTTTATTGACAGCCTTCAAAAGTGTGCTGGTGTATTAGAATCCCTTAAATTTGACATTTAACTGTTTCAGCATCCAGATTCAGACATTTTCTTTTTTTTTCAAAAGCTTCGATATTTACCAACTCTTTCAATAAGAAAGAGAAAGATTACTGTTAAAATAAAATGAACTCATAATGGAAACTTATTGGAGCTTAATACTATGACTGATTTTTATTAGAGAGTATATCAAGCATATTTCCTAATAATATGATGTTTCTGACACATTAATCATGCAGTGCGCAGCATGAAATCAGAAGGTAGCTGTACTTGTAAATTAAGTTCACTTGGTTGTTCGGTAAGTCAATGTGCTTTCTTTGTATTCACTCTGATTTAATGATCTTTAAGTGTCGTACATGTTGGAGTTGGTAAGGGAGTGATCAAGAATGAAGCTTCAGGCTTTTACCAAGTAATAGAATACTGGGTGTTATGAACATGTTCTATTTGCTGTGTGCTAGGATACAAAAAGATGAGTAAGTTAACTCCAATAATTCAGGGTGTTTCTATAGGGCAGACTTAATAATAGCCTTTTCCTTAAGCCTCTAGCCAGGCAGACCCATTTTTTTGCTGAGCTAAGGGAGTGCTACAGGCATTACCCACTGCACCATGTGAAGATTAGTTCTACATTGTGCATGTGGTGATTCAGCAGAAATGGTGGAGTCATGTAGGTTTTAGCCCTGCGGAGAGAAGAGCAGCTCCCTTTTGGTGAAGCTGTAACACTTTGCTTGTAACAAAGTTCTACTGAACACGAAACTGGCAGCGGCTTGAGGCAGCTCATTAAGTACGATCATCTAGTGGTGCATCATAGATGGGTGTTGTCTTCTATCTATGTTAGAGATTTGACAGGGCTCATTATAGTTTCCACTCAAATCAAGTTCAACTCTCAGTCTTTAAGCTCTTGGTCAGATTTTGAAAAGGAGGATTAAAAAAAAGGTAGTTGATCCGGTTCAGGATTACCTTCATACATGACTGGCAAGACAGTAAAGAATACTTTTACCTTAAGGTTTTGGTACCATGCTTGCAACTGTATGTCTTTCCTCACTATATGAATAAAGTTATCATTAAAATAGCCTAACTTGTGGTTAGAAACCACAAATGATTGAATTACCAAATGAAGACGTAGCCTGTTAACTTAAATGAGGTACATGGTGAGGTTCAGATGTCCTACAAAACTACACCATAAGTATTCCAGTTGCATGTTTGAACCTGTAGGCCACTTTCAGAGATCACAGATCAGCAACAATGTTCCTGTTTCCCTGTCTGTCCAAATCCTTAGCCTCCCAAAGCTTTAAAGAGAATAAGCTTTCAGCTCAGCTTGAGTTCCAACCAGTGGCCCAAAGTTTCATGGTTCGCAGAGCACTCTTTGAATCTCTGCTGCTCACAGCAACTGTGTGGATAAGAGACACAGCCAGGCGAGAAGTTCATCCGCATTAAAGGGGAATGTGTGAGCAATACCGTGGCTTGTTTCTCTCAGGTTCTAACTTAACATACACAGTTAAGCAAACTATAAAACCAAAAGGCCCACCTCTATGGTGGAGAGGTCTGCCGGCCTGTTTGCTTTGGACCCCTTTCAAAAACAGCTGTGTCAGGTATACAATTCTGTTCATTTTGAGGTTACAAGGACTCAGTTTTTCCCCACAATTGCTTACCCTTTGTTTGTGCTTTATATCTATACCTCTTCAGCCATGTTATTGTTCCTTTGTCTGTAGGAGGAATTCGTCTGCAGAAAACTAACATTTTCTGTCTGACAATGTTTACCTTAATGTGGGAAAACACACTGACTCACAAAGACTGTTCACTGGACCACAGCACTACATGAATCTCCTCTCCTACACAGTCAAGAGTCAGCAGACACATTCTAAGCTTACAAGACTTTGGATTCACTGGCGCCGGTGGAAGAGAGAATTGTAGACTGTGTTTATGACTGATGACTGTTTTTGGTTGTAGTTTGTTTTCTAATTGCTACATCAAACATTCAAACCACAATGTTCAAAGAGAAGCAGCACAACAAAATGAGAAACAATAATTAACTGAAATATCTTGTCAAACTGATCATTGTTTATGGGGCAAATGATTACAAAACCCAAATGGTTGAGGCTGTTTTTTTTAATTACATAAATGATAAATCTGAACTTGGCTAATGGGTTTGAATTTGATTTTTCTTATGGCTCAAAGACGGAAAATTCAACCAGTGTTTGAGAGGGCCACCACAGTTCCAAAGAGTCAACAACAGCCCTAATGTTGCATTTGAGAAAAAAATAAATCAGTGACAACATCAAAGCGTGTTCGCACCACGTCAAAACCTTAAAATGCTCACAGATAATGCATGACTCTTTGCTCATTTGGACTTAATCTGAAATACACATAGAGAGGATTCACTGACACAACATCAGTGCATATTACCTGTCTTTGAAGAAAAAGGTCTCTCCTCTGATTTGTGCAACAGCATCAAAGACAACTGGCTCTTTACAGATGTCCATTGGGGTCACAGGACCCTGAGTTGGAGGCAAAGGCTTGTCTGTCGGCACACCTGTTGTAAGATTTATCAGAAAATATAGTTTTTGACTGAGAATTTATAGTATTTAAAGTATAGGGAATTGTTTAAGGTTACAAATCGTAGCTCTGCTCACCATAGAGCTCTTGGATGCCTTGAATGTCGTCATGAGAGAGTCTGAAGTCTTTGGTAAAAGTGTAAACGGGAGCCATCAGTGCTCCAGTGTCCTGAGAGTGCTCCAAGCCTAAAGCATGGCCAAACTCATGGGCGGCCACCAGGAAGAGACTGTAGCCTAAGAACAGTCCACAAGACCAGATAAAATTAGTGTATGAGGTTGTATGAGGTGTTTCCAAAGTAAAATAGGCATGGTTCTTTGAAGTTTTACACAATTTCATTGAGTTCATTCTTGTGGTGTTCTGAATTGATCTGACATTGTGTTTTTTTTCCTGTTAGTTGGAATTATTCTTGACTCTCGGATGGCAAAAAGCCTTCTTGGTCAATTTGCTTGGCAGCAAAACTATAGGAGGAACTGCTCACAAATAGTATTGGTGAATACATTCATACCTTGGTCAGGACAGAATCCCCATTTGCGGTCATCATCATAGCTCTTTGTGGTACCGCACCACATTTTGCCGTCACTGCGTCCGGAGGTGGTGCAGGAATCATAGCTGTCTCCCAGGAAGGTGAAGGGAAAAACACAGGGGCTTCCCTCTGCATTTCCACCCACTGTTGACATTGCTATAGATGGCAAAATAAGGCAACATATATTACAATGGTATGTGTTAAAGGAACTCTAGAAATCCATGAAATGATTTACATGCATCATCCACATGCAAAATGTTTCTCCAGTGAAGTTTTCTTTGCACTGAACACTGAAATGAGCACAGATGATGTTGAAAAGAGCTCCATAAAACAACTTGGCACAACACAAGTAACATCAACAACTGATCCACAAGGCACAAACCCAAAAAAAGCAACCGCCCAAGTTTTCTTTCAAAAAGAGACCAATTTCAATCTTGCACCACTCGTTTTGTGGTGCTGTTTTCTTCCTGCTTTATTCTTAAAGCAAAGGTTCTAGCACAAAGTTCTTAAACAAAGCTGCGATCCTAGTTGAATAAAACCTGACCCTTCTGTGAATGTCTCCCTACTGCTCTCCCTCCACTCCTAAAACCACTCACTCTGACAGAATGGAAAAGAAGCTCTACTGTTCCATGTTGAAATACTTTCACAGCTATTTTGCCGACCATGACCAAGACCAAAAACCTAGCTGGAGAATTCCTGTAGACTGACAATAGCCCCATACAATGAAAACAAAACACACACACACACACACGGAAAGTTGGTTCTGCTAAAATCACTCATGCAAAAACTAACACAGACTGTAGAAAAAGCGTCGGTTTGCATCCATATGGCAAGTTTTATAAATCAGATGGTAGATGATTCCACCTACCAGTTTCGGGGCAGAAACCGAAGGATTTGTCACGGTCATAGTCTTCAGTTGTAGCACACCAACGGTAACCGTCATCTCTGCCCTCAGTGGTGCAGCTGTCATACTTAGTCCCCTGAAAGGTGAATGGGAATTTACACGGGGCACCCTCGCCGTTCCCACCCAGGGTGAAGAGTACTGTAAAGCAAAATAAACAGTCAAATATTCAACCCAACAACATGACACTAATCACAACTCTATGAGTACAATACCTCACTCTTTATAATATACTGTTGATACTACTTTTCCAATTACCATTACCAAGTTTTTTTTTGTTAAACCTCAATGCAAAAGCCAAGCAGAACAGGCCTCCTACATGTTCACATCACATAAAATCACAAAAAAAACATTTTACATGTGTACTTTGGATGGCGGTTGAAACAGATATGTGATAATGCTACTACCATGGACAGCAACATAACACAGATAAACAAAATGTTTGACAAAGCCTCCCTCTCCAAATTGGGGCAGTAGTTTGGAAAAGAAATGTTCCATAATCCACTCCAAACAAAGACAACAGCTCTTTCCTGGCATATCGTTCAACCTACTTTTTTTCTGTCCAAAATCAGAGACACAGCTGTAAATGTAACAACTGTCTGCGGTGAGGCATTTGCCAGCTTCAATTCACCACACTGCTAAAGGTTTTCAGAGAAGGATGGTACTACTGTTTCTAAGGAAAAAGGGGAATAATCAGAGATCCTCAAAGCTAGAGAGCTTGCATGGCGACATTACTTTGGGGACACTGTGGCATATCCATGTGTTTAAAATGGGCAAAGCAGTTGACAGACTTACATTCGTGAGGGCAGAAGCCATATTTGCCATCGTCATCAAAGTTGTAGGTGGTAGAGCACCACAGGAAGCCATCGTCGCGGCCCTGAGATGTACAGCTGTCGTATTCGGTGCCCATGAACAGGAAGGGGAATTTACAGAACTCTCCATCGGCATTTCCAAACTTCGCCTTCACAACTGTTCAACAAATCACAACAAAATTAATCAACCTGATGCCTTCTGATGAGCTAAATCACAAACCATGAATATTCCTTAAATAAACATCATCCACTGTCTGAAACTACAATTCTGGTGGTAAGTAAAAGTTGAGTTATATTTGTTGTGCAGTTTTATCAAACAGCTTCCTGTTCTAGTTTTATTCATGGCAAAATCCCACTTTATATAAGGTAAATAGATTTAAAAGATAAAATGGTGTGGTGAGACACACAGGCACTTGCAGCTAAATGAGCTTTTACAGGATATTTGGATTCTTTTTTATTTCTATGAGAAGTATTTTTCCATTACCTTGGCCCTCTCCCAAAGTCCACTGCTCATCATCATCAAAGTGGGAGTCTCCACCAATTCCTGGCCCTGGAGCAAAGGCATGAGCCAATAGGCCATCCTTGCCATCAAATGGATAGCCATCTCCATGCTCTGTAGAGAAAATGTTAAAAAAAAGTTCTGAAAATACTGAAAAAGTTCTCTTTCTGATGCAATCTTACTCCTTGTATGTGTATCTAATATTCGTGTTTTTTGTTACAACAATATAATGAAGTCTGGGCATGGTGTTTTTGTTTGTCTTCCACTGTAATTACTGGATTCCTCTCTGGATATGGCGAGACAGTAATATATTACAACACTGTAAGTCCATATCAGGGGCTTATTTTAGCTGGAATGACTGGAATGACCTGTGTCGAGACCACAATTCCCACAGTTCTGTTATGTGCTCCTACAATATAGGATGGAGCAGTGTGGAGTCACATCTAAATTTGAATTTAAAAGTGTTTTTGCAGGTTACTGAACTTTTAGTAACCTATTTTCTGGTTAAAGTACACTCGCGTTGTCACTGTTGAAAAACATATTGACAGTTTTGTAGATATATTGTTCACATTTTCCTTTGATAAATTCAGATTTAGAGTATTTCCAACATTAAATTATACAAATAAACACATAGCATACCGTTGCGACCAAAATTTATCATGATGTCGGCCTCTCCGTCCATGATGCGTTTGAAAGAGAGAGGTGTGACATCACTCCAAACTTTAAAGGCTCTGAAGAAAGCGTCATTGATGACTTCCTCATCCAGGTCAGGAGAGTAACCCAGGATTCTGCACCACCACAAAATACATACAGAATTTATAAATCAAGACAGAGAAGGAAGATTCAAGCATGTTTGATCACATTTTTACTTCAGTCCATAGAAATGAGGCCGTCCAACAGTGTGAGTCATCTGTGAGAGTGCTTCCTGAAACAATATTCTGCAACAAACCCACACAACTTACTGTGCCTGTATACCGATTACTTTCCCTGAAAACAGGCTCACATCTCCAAGTCTTTGGCTTGCAGTGTTTTTTCCAAACACAAAGCCAGATGGGCTGGAGAGATCAGGGCACACAGCCCCTCCAAAGTAAGTAAACTAAATCCACACTGATTCAGCCTCAAAGAGAATGAAAACAAGGAGGATGACACATACTGTGTAGGAATGCTGGTGTTAGAAAGACATTGGATGCAAGAACTCCAGACTGCTTGGATGGAGGGGGAGCAGGGTAGACTAGTGGCTGAGGGTGGGTAGGGTTGGTGGGTGTGTTTAGGTCAGGCGGGGGCAATAAACATTTCCCCAATGGTTGGAATTATGGGCAGCTTTGTGGAGATGGGTGAAGACTGGCAAAAAATAATCATCCTGTAAATTAAATCCTGAAATGATAGGTTAAAATAACTACTTGACAATTCATCAGATCTGTTTGTCCCTTTTTTCACAGACCACAGTGCTTACAGCCTCCATTTTTATCTCCATCCAGTCAACATGCACTGACACCCACCTCCACCAGTAAAGATAAAGGTAATTAAAGTGTCTGACCTGTAGGTGATGTCTTTCTTCTGCCACATGGGTTTCCTGTGGAAGAAGTTGTAATTGGCAACATCTGGGACGCCACAGCGGGGCTTTTTCATGATCTCCACAGTTTTGGCATCAATCTCCCCAGTTTCTTGCAGAGCGAAGAACTTTTGCATTTTCTTGAGGGTGTCTTTGAGCACCATAAGGTTGCATCTGTCTTGTGGGCATCCATAGAACTTATTCAGATAGTGCTGGGAAGGAGTTCAAGTCCAGAGGTTCAAGTTCAAATTAAAAACATTTCAGATAAATAAACAAATCCTATACAAATATTTTGCTCTTTACACGTAAACTGGCGATTTAGAGGTGGATTAACCCCTTAAATTTACACTTTTCGTACTAAGGGGGAAAGAAAGGAAAAAACTTACCAGGGCAACTTCTTTGTCTGTTTTGGGGGAGTCGTCTCCGGGAAACCTGATAATGGGAGAAGGGCGAGCATTTGCAGCTTGAAGGGCTATGAAGTGAACCAGAAACACTTTGAGGACTACCCGACGACAACTAAATATCGTCGAAAAGCCCATTTTTCTCCGTTAAGCCTATCTTGCAGTTGGATACTGTTTGATCTGAGCTCTTTCAGCTCGTCAGCTTGAAAAGCCTCTGCTCCTCCTCATATATTTTTTTCCTCCTTAACGGGACGTCCTGCACTTCTCTGAACTCTCTCAGTTGTGCTTGCTCATGCCCCCCCTCTCTAATACACTCTGCGCAGTCTCCAGGTTGACAATGTGGAGGGGTGGGGGGGGGGGGGGGGGGTGTGTGATGCACTTCTTGTGGTAATTTTCACTCAAAACTGATACTGCAACGCCAGAATCAACTCAGACCTTACTTCTGAACTCTGTATTTAGATAAACAAGTCACTAACTTACTAAATCCAGTCTTTGCCTAAGACTGACACACAATAATGCGCAATTTTAAGGGTTAGAACTTGCTGTTGCCATGATCCTGCACATCTGTTTTTTTTTCCAGCATCCCTCCCTGCTCCACCCTTTGAATACTTTTCTAACTTTTTAGCGCAACTTGAGCGCACTCCACCCCCCAAACCCGAGGCATTGTCCCGCAGCCACACCGGCTCCTGATGCATGCGACATTAAGGCACACTTTTTAATATCAGCCACTCTTCTGGGACAGTTTGGTCCGTATGTAACAACCCCACGGGAGGGGCACAGCGACACCCAGCTGCGGACAGTCCGAGGGTTTCTAAGGTCAGCAGAAGTTATATGTTGACATCTGGTGGCAGGATGCGTATATTGAACCACAAGCAGTTGAACCTTTAAAAAGCTGAAAGGAGACACGTTCTGTACTGGATGTAAGAACGTAAATTAGGCCTGAAAGAAAGCGTGCTTTGTAAACTCTCAATGTGCATGTGTGTTTATGGGTAAACTGATGTTGCCAAAAATGAATTGGCTTGCACTGGAAATTTAATATCAAGAGTCTACTTACCTGTGCAGATTTAATGCTTCCAAGTCAGTCTTATACTCTGGCCCAGCTAGAGTGGGCAGAATGGCTGCCCTCTGGTGGGTATTATACACCCTGCACCACAATCTATTCAAGCCTTTGGAGCCAGTCTTCTTCACCCAGTCACAGTCTGCTGCATAGATGTGGGATTTACTGTAACTGTCTTTGACATCTTTTTGTTTCCGCTTTCATGGTGGATAATTCCAAACAGAGGCTTTAATCGGGTGAGCTGAAGGACTTCTTTTTCAAAGAGATCTGACAGATGGATATCTCAGAAACAGGATTTTGTGGGATATCTAGCAAAACAATTTCCTTTCCCTTTAGTCAAAGTACAGTTAATGTTTCATAGCTAGGGCTGCTGTTGGTGGTTGCAGAGTGAATTTAACATCCATTTGCCAACAATATCCAGGGCCTGTCACTTTGGAGCAGGAGCTTTATTTCATGCACTGATACATGCTGCCATCTCCCCTAACTGACACACTCGCACTGATCCCTCGCAGAGCTGGGGAGCGGGATGGCTACCTATTAAATGTACATGGGCCTGCCTCTCCAAATAGAAAATGCTGAGATGTGAAAAGTTGAGCCACAGCTACAGTAATTGAATGCCTTTGTGCATATGAATGCAGTTTTGCAGGAGAAAGAAGCATAAAGAGATTGAGACGATAACATTTGATTTGCATGTAAATTGTTTTCTTTCTTTCTTTTGGCCCCAGCTGAATGTTTAAGCTCCTTCCAGGTTTGAACATTGCACAATATGTGTATGTTTGTGTGTTTCGATGAAATTCTATTGGCTTTATTAAAAATGGATGTCTTGTTGCCGCTGATAGTGAATGCATCTCCTCCGTTTGTATTTGTTTGCGACTAAGATGGCTGATTTAAATACAGTCATTGCAATATGGATGCTCTTACAGCTGATTTGTATTTCAGTATCTACACTATTGTACGTTAATCACATGTGAAGCTTTCATTGCGAGCAAATTATATTAAGATTTACCTCATGAATATAAATTCACGGGGTTTCCATTTAAATTGCTAAATAAAGCAGCCTAATGCAAAGTTGCAATGTATTTGCTCTGGTCCTACACCACATAGGCTCATGTCATGAATTATGAGGGGGAGCAGTTTCCTCCTGCCTGCCAGTGAGGCCTCCACTTGTGACTGGGAATGGGACACTCTGGACATGAAGGCCATTCGTATTATGGCTCTCCAGCTGGCTGTGAATCTTCAAACCAACCGATTGACCCATGTCCAGCTGAACAGAGCGCAGACCTAGATGTCACCGTCTCCCATCACCCTGCTCCTCTGGCTCTTCCGAGGACCCTGACAGATTCTCTGATGGGTCATCAAACCAAACTCCCTCTGTGGCCGGCCAGCGCCGAGGTCATGAATGACAAATATCACAGTCCCCTCAGCTGTCCTCTGACTCGAAACCAAAGATGTGAGGATGGTGTGTGACGCTCACAGAGTTTTTATATAGGTCTGGATGTATAGTTAGCTGGGGTGTGTAGTTAACACTGACACTGAGTGGTTTGGAATCAGCCTATTGGCATTGTTTGTTTTATTGCTTTGCAGGAGTAATTAAGCAATGGTTGCTGAGTAAATGAATGCAGCAACAGCCCTATCAATAAATCTGTTTCAAGATAACGTAATTTGGCTAAGCACTGTGTTACAGAAAAGTGTGACACATATTATATCACTCGGATTGAAACATTCTGATGATGAATTATTGAACATAAATCCATTATCTTGAACATTTATTATTTATGAAAGCACTAAGACACTGGAGGACTTTAACACTGCAGGGTAATTATTGTTCCACATTGTGTCACCACTCCTCTCTCAGATGCAACTGCCAGAGCAAACTGTGATGAATCAAAGTATTGCGAGTTTTGACTGACATTTTGTGCGCGCAGGAGCCCCACAGCGACATTAGTCGAATTGCTTTATTTAATGCTTTCTCCCTCATTCTGTTTCTCTTTTTAGCGAGCCTTGTAAACACTGATGCAATAATGCATTCCATTATACAGAGGAGAGGAGATGAGTGTCTCGCGTGGCTCCTCTCCATCTCAATAATAGGTCAACAGCTGTATTTAAAAAATTAATCACATTCTTGGCAGTTGCAAAGGTTAGCTACAGCGCTCTGAGATGCAATATTGGAAGCTCAGATCAGCAGCGCGTCTCAGTGGAGATGAGGAAGACTTGCCTTTGATGAATACAGCATGTAAATGATTTGTGTGTGTTTATGGGACACGGGGCTGGCCCTGCCTCACTCCAAGACAGCAGCGTTGGCACCACTCTGTGGCAGAGGCTGGCAACAGCAGATGGAAATAAGCAGGAGGGGAGGGCTGACCCCGCAACGCAACTTCACAGTTTGTGTTCTCGTTCAGCAGAACGCTCATCTTTCTTCCTCACTTTTTTAAATTGCACCAGTTAAATGAATTCTTTAGAAATGGTTTCTCTTGATAGAGTAGCCTATTCTTCAAATCAATCCTGCATTGTTTTTCATCCGTGTCTTTCTTCTTTTATACATTTCAGCATCATCAAGAATATTTGTGATGCTAAGAAATCAAATATGGTCTCTCCAGAACACGTGCTTGACTCACAGGTTTAACCTGAGGCCTCTTAAACAGCTCATTTGTTAATTCAGCGTTTCTCGATGGAGACCATATCAGTCTGTTTGTGGGATCTTTTAAGAAATTCAAATATTGATGCCTCTCTCACATCAAAGACAAATTACTCTCAGAGATATCTTGAGGTGTGAGGACATGCATATGAAATATGGATGCCTACCTTGGATTGCTTTTAGTAATTCTGAAATATTTACAGTAGTATTTAGGAGTGCCATGGCTCTTGCTTGTTTCATACAGGCTGACACTTGAGGATGAATTTTTCAGGAAGGAACTGATTTTGTCGTCACACTAAATGGATAGTCTAGATAAGTCAGGAAACCCTCTTAACTTAATTGTCAGGTGAAAATGAAATACTGCATGATGCAAGAGTGAGAAATGAAGGTAATGTTGCCATCTGCCTGGTCCTCTTAACAGTTCTCAGAGATGTGCACTGGCTGTAATGCACTTTGCAGATCTCAGCTTGAGATTCTTAGGCCTGTAGTGTTGGCATGTTAATTAGTAAATCTTTGGACAGCTGTCATTTCACATCAGTATTTCATTAAACACCGCAAGAATGTATCTGTAAACATTTTGTCTCACAATCTGAGGGTGCTACCTTGGCCTTAGTTCACATATTTTAACCTGTTCTTGAATGCAAATTTTCATCTCGATTTATTTTTTTACCCTTGGAGTGTAATTAGAACTGAAAAAAAAAACAATCATAACTTAAGTAATTATCTATTAAATGCGAATGAGAATAGTGTTTCCAAAACAACAGAAATCCATTGGGAAATCATGTTCATCAGCTCTGATTACTTTCACTCATTAAAGAAAGAAGACATTCAGGCCTGGCAGCAGTTTTCCTGGCTGATTCAAAACTGCTTAGCCTCCTTTAAACATGTCGTACCACCATGCAGTATTACCATTTGCCAAACCAGAACAGCTTTAAAGTCAGGTATTCATTATCAGTCATTAAAACACAAGAATTATGCAGCACTATGAACTGAGGTCATCAAACCTATCAGGCTCTTTATTTAGATAAAGTTACAATTGTTTAGCTCGAAGTTGGTATGAGGGATGTCTTGTGACAGGCATCAACAGCTGGATTGGATTTAAGGTTTTACTTTTACTCTCCACCCAAATGGTGGAGACACCGGTGACCTTTAAAGTGGATCAAACAAATCCCTTCGGTCACCCAACCAAACATTCCTCCTGGAAGAGAACGGCCATGCCTTAAAGCTCAATAGGTCAGTCATTATTTTGGCGAGGACTCACCGTCACAAATTCCAGAAAAAAGTTAATTTCCTTTTGCCTGTTAATAACAAGCTCAGAGTCACCTCTGAGCTCGAAAGAGCATGATTCAATTACGTTTTCTTTCTACTTTTATTCAGTTCGACCACATGTCACCTTGTTAGTAATATAGTGTTGCATTACAGTTTTTCTTGTGAATGTACTCTACAGGAGTCCTGGAAGCACACGGCACACCAGTGACCCTACATCAGTATCTCATAACACAACCCGTATGCAACGTTAGCCACTGTTTAAAGGCTATGCAAATCTTTAATGTGCACACACCAAAGAAATAACATATGTGTGGTGCAAAGGGGACTCTACTGCATAAAAACAGCTTTGTTGCGCAGTGTGATGGGAGAAATATATCAATGTATGAGCCGGTGTTCTCCTCATGGAAGCGGTGCTTCCTTCTATTGCTGCTACCAGGGATCTGAGCCTTGTTGTCAGGCGACGTCTGCAGCCAACAGGCCCCCTGTGTTTTAAATACCGGATAACATGCATGTCACCGCTGCTTGTGTTTGCAGGATATTGAAAAAGACCTTTGGTAGGAAGTTGAGGCCCACTGGCCGTTTGGGAG